AGAGGCTGACCTGGGCACCTTATTTACAATCCCAACATCTCTGTCTCTCCTCCACTTCCCTGCTCTATTTATTCCATAGCTCTTACACCCTCTGACATATTTTTGTAGGTTTGCTTATTGTCTCTTGTTCCCTTTGGGAATACAACCTCCATGTGGGCAGGTGTATTTTTGTGTGTTCATTGTTATATTCTCAGAACAGTGTCTGACATGCAGTAAGTGCTCAGTGACTGTTGAATGAATGAATGAATGAGTCAGTGGAAATATGGTGAATGAAAAGTGCTGGGATAAGGCCTGAGGTAAGGTGAGAACAGGAGTGGGGTGGTCAGGTCCTGAGGAACTGGCCCAGCGATCAATCAGGTTTTCCTGCTAGATCACAGAGGGGTCAGAAGGGCATGCACAGTCTGACCACATACTTTAGTGTTTCCCTGGAAATAGTTTCCCACCTGAGTGTGTGTGTGAGTATGTGTGTGTGCATGCCCACTGATGAGCAAGAGTGGGTGGTGGCGTTTGGTCACCTGCTCAGGCTTGAGACCAGGGGGCACCCAGGCATACTCCTCTGAGGCACAGCCTGAGTCATCATCGGAGATGGAGTGGCGCTGGAAGTCTGAGATTAGCCGACACATGATGCGTTCCAGGTCCACAGGCACTGCATGCACGGCGTGTTCCTCCCGCGGGCATTTGCAGTGCTGGCAGATCTTTCTGAGGGGGCCAGGATGGGGGTCAGTTCCTAAGGGATAGCCCACTGGGACCCCCTTGGTGGCCCAAGAAAGTCTAACTGAGGGGCAGAGACACGCAGATTATCGCCAGCAAAAGACTTGGAGCCTGAGAGGGCTCTGGGCTTGGAGGAGGTGCAGAGCGGACCTGAGGCTGTGAGCCAAACCACTGTGGGGGAGTGGGCGGGGGCTGTGAAGGGCAGAGCGGCCACCTGGGCTGGGAGCTGCAAGCGGGGCTGTGGGCCTGGCCAGAGGATGTGAAGCGAGTGGTGGGGCTGTGGGAGGTCTCAAGGCCCTGACTTTCAGCACTGGGACTTGGGTCACACTCTCCTGGCAGCGGACTTGAGTAGGGGCGGGGCTGAATCTGAGGTTGGAGTTATAAATCTAGGGGTTTCCCCTCAGGACTTTGGAAGTTGTTGAGGGAACTTTTCCTAGAGGCGGGCTCTAGCTTGTGCTGAGGCTCTGAACTCATGAGTGGGTCAGGCTCTGAGCCCGTGGGTCGGGCTCTGTCTGTTGTATTCTATGGGAGGTTTTGGGTACAGGCCTTCACTAAGAGGATAGGACCTGGGTGTGGCAGAGGAGTTCAGAGCCCAAAAATGGGGCTGGAGGTCAGTGGGCGGTGCTCAGAACCCGGGACTCAGGCTATCCCTAGAGACAGGGCTCGGAAACTAGGAGGATACTTCTGGGGGCGGGGACATGTAGTAGGCGGAGATCTCCTGGGAACGCCACAATTAGGACCGAGTCTGGGGAGGGAGGGCTCTGGACCTGAGCTTTTTGAAGACCGGGCTCCAGGCTAGGGGAGTGGACTAAGTCTCGGTGGGTTCCCCTAAGGGCAGGACCCTGACGAAGGCAAGGTCACCTACCTCCAGCCGTGTAGCAGGAAGCCGGGGCACTGCTCCCTACAGGAGTTGCAGGGCTGGCCGCGGTCTGGGTCCTCTGCCTCTGGAGGCTGTAGTGGGCGGGGGCAGACGCCGGACCGGGCGAGGTGTGCGCGGGCGGGGAGGGAGAGAGAAATCAACGCCCGCCTCTCCATTCCAAGGACAGCAACCACAGGCCAGGGCCTGTCCCACCAGGGCAACGCCAGGCAGGCTGGGACAGAGCCCAGAGCAGAGGGGGACACCACCGAGGCAGAGGCGGGGCAGCTGAGGCTACCTCCCTACATGCCCCCCTTTCAGGGAATTTCCCCTCCCTGGGCCAGCCCCGGACTCCCCTCACCCAGCCTGGACACCTCTCACCAGCCTCTGAATCCTTTAGGCCTCAAAACACCTGAACTCAAGAGTACTCTCTCCACTAGAGCAGAGACCCTAATCTGGGTGTCTCTTCCCAGGCCTCATCTCGCTGGGCCCCTTCTCCACTCAGGAACCAGCAGCACTCCAGTTCCACAAGTTGGGAGTCTGAGACCCCATCCTTACATGGTATCCCCACGTGAACCCTGTTCCTATTTTCAGAAGCTCAAGAGCTCTTCTGGAGAAGGCAATGGCACCCTACTCCAGTACTCTTGCCTGGAAAATCCCATGGACAGAGGGCCCTGGTAAGGCTGCAGTCCATGGGGACGCGAAGAGTCCGACAAGACTGAGCGACTTCACTTTCACTTTTCACTTTCATGCATTGGAGAATGAAATGGCAACCCACTCCAGTGTTCTCGCCTGGAGAATCCCAGGGACGGCGCAGCCTGGTGGGCTGCTGTCTATGGGGTCGCACAGTGTCGGACGCGACTGAAGCAACTTAGGAGCAGCAGCAGCAAGAGCTCTTCCCCAAACCCTGGCTTCACCTTTTCAAACCCAAGGAACCGAGACCCTCCTCTGGGATCTCAGGAGGCCCTTGAGCCATTCAGAAACTCACACCCCAAGAAGCCTTGGCCCTTATCCCTCATATCCTAGGGCTATTCACTCTTCTGGACCAGACCCCACCCAGACAGCCCCTCCAAAGGAAGAGAGAGACCCTCCCATCTAGGAAGTCAAAAGCTCCGTGACTCAAGTGGAAGCCTGGAAGCTCTCTTACCCTCATATCCCAACCACTTGACTCTCAATATTTGGGCACCCCAGGAGTGTAGGGCCTTGCCCCTCAGTTCATCTTCCACCCAGGTACAGGGGGAGGTCTCTTTCTTCAGAAGCTCAGGAGGTCTCTGCTCAATCTAGGACTTCAGGACCCAATCTTTTGGTTCTCAGAATCCCCTCCCATAATTCACCCAAGAGGGGAGTGCACCAAGTCCCCAGCATACTGATAAAGGTGTGCGGAAAGGTGATTAGGGAGCCAGGGCCACCAGATTTCCACGTTCCTTCATCCACATGCTTCCAGCAGCCCTCCGGTCTGGGTATCTTGGGGATGGGGATTCCCAAATCCTCTGTGGAACACCTCCTCTCTATCCCTTGCTTCCTCTCCTGGGTCTGTTTACCCCGACCCCCATTGCTGCCCCGAGTCTCGCTCACCGCGCGCCCGGAGCGGCGCCTCCGGGACCCACGCGCGAACATGGCGTGCCCAGGCAGGGTCCAGCCAGGCCGGGTCAGGAGAACGGAATCCTTGTGGCCGTCTGGCCACCGCGCGTCCGGCAGGGGAGCTCTCGGTTCCGTAAACCTGACACCGGCGTAGGAGGAGCGCGCCCAGCGGGGTCCGCCCCTGGGCCTGGTGTCTTTCCCGGGCCAAGGCGCCCCCTGCCTAGAGGTGAGGGCCGCGCAGCCCAGGAGCGCAGTGCGTGACAGCTTCCCGGCACTCCTGCTTGGGCGGGAGCTGGGCCTCAGAAATTACAGTCCCCAGAACCCCAGGGTTCCATATGATCTCTCACTAGATGCTCTAGGGCTGGAGGGCTCCGTTGTGGAGGAGGGGAACTTGGAAGTGGTGACCTGACTGCAAGGAGTGTGCGCTACAGTACTTGTATTGGCACTTTGTGTCAATTTATCTTGGATGTTTATTTGGGGGATGTGTTAAAGCCACCTCTTGGTCCTCCCCTCACTGGTGATGATCTGAGGGTCTCTCTCCCTCCGATTAATGCTGCACGAATGGTTTCCAACCCTATTGCAGCCCCGTCTGAAAGCTAGACCTTGTACACCCCCGCTCCCCATGTCCTCACTCACATCCGCTTTCAGACAGAGCCAGGGTCATTTGAGATTTATGGGAAAGAGCTTAAACTTCCGCGGCCCTCTTCCCATCCTTATAGTTCCAACTGCGAGGCCCCGTAAGTCCTCAGAAATAGATTTTAAAGGCTTCTTTCCCCTGCTCTTGCTTTTCTCTCTCCAGGTATTCTTTCCCTGAGCTAGGAGTCTCTCCTTCTCCCTCTCAGGCTTCTCTATGCCTCGGGGTGGGAAGAGGGGGTCCCTAGCACACAGTCAGAACTCCAATGCCCGGCCAAGGTAGGCACCACAACGGGCAGCGGTCCACCAGCCCTTCACGGTGGGCGCCGGGGACCCCAGCCCCCCACCCCCCTACCCTAGCCTACCCCACCCCAGTCCCCCACCCCCCTACCCTAGCCTACCCCACCCCAGCCCCCCACCCCACTCCGGATCCATTACACAAACCGGGTCATTTCCCGCCCCTCCCTGCCCCAGGGAGGAGCCAGGACAGGTTATGAAATGAATGAAAGAACTAACTAGTCTCCTCAGCGCCCCGCCTCCGCCTTACTGCCTAGTCGGTCTCCCGGTCGCAGGCAAGGAAACGGAGAGACAGCAGGAGGAAGAATGCGAGGAGGGTGACTCGTGAAGTCTCCTTGTGAAGCATGGGGATCCTATTTGAACCCTTTGGGGATTCAAGGACAGGGCTCCCCAGAGTCTGGGAAAGGACCTGTCTAAGAACCCAAATTAGAACCGAACTGTAGAGAGGCTCAGTGGTAAAGAATCCACTTGCAATGCTGGAGACACAGGAAGCTTGGGTTCGATCCCTGGGTCAGGAAGATCCCCTGGAGGAGGAAATGGCAACCCGCTCCTGTATTCTTGCCTGGTAAAATTCTATGGACAGAGGAGCCTGGTGGGCTACTGTCCATGAGACTGCGAAGAGTCGGGATACGACTGGGCATTCGGTGGCCATTAGTAGGGCAGTGGGCAGGGCTACTCTGAGTGTGACTTAGAACAATAGGCAAGCGAGGCTTCACAGAGGATGCAGCTCAGCAAAGCACTGTTGGAGGGGCCGAAAATGGGGTTTCTTGAACGGTGTCCAGCAGGTCAGAGGTGGAGCTTTCTCTCACCTTCTTTTCCCTTTGTCCCCCGCCTCCGCCCTCCTCCACCCCGCCCCACCAAAAGACACTGAGAAGTCAGAGCCGTGTGGACTAGGTGGTTGAGGAATTTATTTAGGGGAGAATTAATCATATTTGTTCTTCCTCGGGGAGGGAGTCTTCAAACAATATCGAAGGGGGCGGGAAAGGGAGAAGGTCTGGAGGGGTGGGGGAGGGGCAACAGCCAGACAAAATGGCAACACACGATCACAGGCACTACAGACGCCACAGACACAGCAGAGGGTGCAGGATGGGGACTCCAGACCGGGCCTCCAACCACCCCGGGACGGACGGAAGCGGGTGTGGAGGGAGGGAGGAGGCAAGGGAAGGTGGGGAGAGAGGGTGGGTTGGCCCCACAGACCCTCTGGCTCTGTCCACTGATTGCCTAGCTGGCCCATCTCAGGGTGGGCAAAGGTGTGTGGGGGGTGCCTCTCTCTGGATCCCGCCCCTTAACCTCCAAGTCTTACTTCTTAGCTCTTCCTGGGCCACCTCAGTCCCCAGCCTTGGCAAAAGATATTCCCCCACCCCTAACAAAACCCATCCCTCAGCCCCAGCCAAGCCTCTCACCCTCCCCTCCCCACTGCCAAGCCCATCCACTTTAAAATATATTTTTCTTCACTGCTCCATTGCGGGGGCAGGGCTGCCCTTTTTGAAACCACCAGGCAGGCCCCGCCCCCACTATGAGCCCCCAGCTGTCTAGAATCCCAACCATGACCTCACTCCAAATTTGGCCCATTCCTGAATCCCACTTCTAGGCTTGCCCTGCCCCCTTTAGAATCAAACTCAGTCTAAGGAAAGTTCCAAGTCACACCCCTTTCATAGATTCTGGTCCCAATCTGAGACCCGCCCTCTCTGGAGCCTCACCCACTGTCTAGTTCAAGCCCCACCCTTTCTAAAACCAGCCCTCAGCGTTTTTCTCTACCTGGTTCCCAGGTCCCAAGTCACACTCCTTCCTTAGAACTCTGTCCTACTCTAACCCCTGCCCACTGTGGGCCCTACCACTGCCTCACTCAAAGCTCCACCCCTTCTAGACCCCCACCTTCAGCCTCCTTCCAAGCCCCATTCTAGAATGCTGTAGGGCACCCCTCTTCTTGAGACTCCAAATCCAGTATGTCTGGAACCCAATCCATCTGCTGATTAGTCCCCTCCACTCCAGAGCTCCTCTCTAAGACCACCTTGGGTTCCAGGATCACCCAGTCTCCCCTCTTCAGTGTTGGATTTTCCCTAATGGCCCCTGTTCAGGAATTGCTGGAGGAAATCAAGGCCAGAGTCAGGAGGAGGAGAGGGAGAAAGGAGATAGTCTGAACTCACACCCACCCTCCCTACGCAGCCTTCTGTCTCCTCCCTGTGCCCCTTAAAGAGTCCCCCCAAACCTCAGAGCACAGGGCCAGGGAACAGAGAGGGGCCAAAGGATGAAGGGGAAGGGGTAGGGGTAAGAGAAGGGCCCACTCAAGATCGGGTCCTTAATGCACAAGGGGAGTGGAGTGGGGGCAGGGCTTAGACAGATAAATAGATATTTATATATAATATATATATATATAAACAGCAAAGACAGTTAAGGGTCTCCTGGCTTGAGGGGTGGAGACCTGGGGTGTAGGGGTGGTAAGTGGGGGCAGGCCTTCTCCTGAGCTCTTGCCTACCCATGGGGTCCTCCCAGGCTGCACTGACCTGTGGAGACAAAAGACATAAAAAGGAGAGGTGGTCCAGACACAGGTAGTGCCTTTAGGGAAGGGCTGAGCTGCTATGCCTCTGCCCAGGCTTTACCCTCTATCTGCCATGCCCTTCCTTCCTTCTTCCTTCATTTATAGTCTTGGGATCAGCTTCATCCCAGCTGCTCTTGTTGGGAAGATATACCTTACCTCCACTAGATTAGGTACCAAAGAAATTATGGTTTCCTTTTGGATTGGTTTCCCCTAATCCAAAAACCTGTTAACAGGTACTGCTCTCCTCATTGCTGACAAACTACATTGAGCAGAGCGAAGATCCATATCTTTGTGGAGCTTACATTGTAGCAGGGGAGACAGAGAGACTTCAAACAATGACCATGATGTGTAAATAAGTTATCTAGTATGACATAAGGTGATAAGTGAAATGGAAAAACAAAAAGTAGACTGTGATGGGGGGGATCAGGAGTGCCAGTAGGGAAAGAAAGGTAGGTAGTCAGAGAAGACCTCATTGAAGAAGTGACATTGGAATAAAGACTTAAGGAGGTGAGGGAATGAACCATGCAGATAACCAAGGAGAAATACATTCTGGGCAGGGAGCACAGCCACCAGTGCAAGGGCCCTGGGGTGAGACCACATCTAGTGTGTTTGAGGAACAGCAAGGAGATCTTCGGGGCTTCATTGGAGTGAGCAAGGGAGAGTGATAGAAGGTGATGTCAGAGAGGTAGGTAATGGGGTCACATAGGGCCTTGTGGACAAAGTTATGAGGACTTCAGCTTTGACTCTGGATCAGGTATAAATCAAGGGGAAATTTTAAAATGATAGTAAAATGTTTCATGCTATGTTGTTTCAGTAAATGTTTCTTAACATTAGTAGTGCTCTGATTTATCTATGGCATGAATTAGTCATGGTGACATCCCCTAATCTAGTAGAAAAGATAGTAAATAAATATATAAACTAATAATTACAGACTGTGATAAAGAAAACATAGGGAAAGGTAAGAAAAGGGACTTGTAAGGAGTTGGCCAGGTAAGGTTATCGTGTGTGTGGGTTTGAAACTCCAAGGAGAAACCAAGTACCAAGACCATGAAGTTGGACTGTGCCTGGCACATCGAGATAGCCAGTGTGGCAGGAACAGAGTCAGGGGGGTGGTTGGGGATGAGAGGTCAGAGAAATGAGGTGTGGGGCTAGATTGTGTAGGGACTCGTGGGCCATAGTGAAGGCTTTGGCTTTTAATCTGAGTGAGCCCCAGCAGAGATCTGAGTTCTGAGCACAGGAGGGCTGTGGCTTGATTTAGGATTTAACAGGGTTGTTCCCCAAGCTGTGAGCAGCATATAATGGGAATGGGAGTGGAAACCAGTGAAGAGGTCCAGAGGGACAGTGTGAAGATTATAGATATATTTTGAAGGTAGAGCCAACAGGAATTTTTAATGAATTGTATATGAGATACCTAATAAACTCCTCCCTGCCCTTTCCATCCTGGCCAAGTGCCAGAAGCTACCTCCACCTGTGTTGCCACTTCCTTGCCTTCCCCTCTAACGCCATCAGCCTGTCTCTATTTCCCGTCTTCCCCTCTCATATGCGAGGGACATCTCGCTTCTCTTTAGGGTCCCAACAAGGCAGGCAAGACTTTTCCAATGCCCCCTGCTTCGCTCCGCCCCGCCCCTTTCCTTCTTGGAAATTCCACACCACTCCCCTCATCTCCACGGTTGCGGAGAGGTAGCGGATCTGTCACCTCCTTCCAGATTAGTAATCGCTGACCTTCATGATTCAAGCCCATTTACCCTCATCATCCATTGGCTTTATAACACATAGGCTAAGACCCACCTCCTCGTCCCTCTTCGGCGCCTGCGCCTAGCCGACTTTCCAGTATGCAAATCCTCCTGTTATTCCTCCTTTCATTGGTTGCTCTGCCCGCTTCTCTCCCCTCCCTTCCAAAAACAGCACTTCCACCTCTCTCCCATTGGCTCTTCATTCTGCCTATTTTCAAAAGCCACTCTTCTCCTCTCCACCATTGGCTAGTTACTAGTGCTTAACATGTAGCTCCGCCTCTCTATTGGCACCTTCAAACGGCCGTCCTTACTTGCCCAGCTAGCGTCCTATGTACATATTCTCCTGCCTCTTATTGGTTCATTGACTCGCCCATCTCCTTTCATGAGCCCTCATTGGTCACCTCACCCGTCTGTCACTCACCAGACTACATCTGATTGGAGAAGGATGTGGGTGCGCCCTGAGGGCCGTAGCCTTGCTGCCCGTAGTCGCCCTGAGGCCCATAGCCACCGCCACCGCTGCTGGCCGGCTGCCCGTAGTCTGGCTGATAGCCGCCCTGGGGCCCGTAGGAGTCCTGGGGCCCGTACCCGCCGGGGCCCTGCCCGTAGCCTGCCTCGCCATAGGCGTCCCCGGGCGCTGGTTGCTTCTCGGGGGCACCGGGAGGAGCGCGCAGGAATGGGGCGGCCCAGCCTGTCTCCTTGAACACGAACCACAGGTTGCCGACCCAGAGCACTAGGTTCAGGAAGCCAAACACCTGCGGGGAGACAAAGCTCTGCTGTCATCTAGCGCCCGTTGCCCTGGTGGTCCCGGGGATCATTGAGGCTGTTTGCATCGGGCTTGGATTCGCGGGCGCCCGGAGGGTGGTGGTTTCTGAGACCCTGACCCTCCGAGTCCCAGCACATGAATGTCTGTGTGCAAAAAAATCACCTTGGTGGGGGTGATTAGAATTCACATTCCCAGGGATATATGTGTATATATGTATTTGCATATATACACGTTTATACATGTACAGAATGTAGTAAACGAATCTAATTTTGTAAGATATAGTAAAATATTAAGCATAAATTTTATTAAATATGTAGGCATAACACTAATAAACACATACACACATATGTATAAATACATATGTATAAAGAACATAAACGGGATTTTCCAGGCAAGAATACTGGAGTGGGTTGCGATTTCCTTCTCCAGGAGATCTTGACCCAGGGATCGAACCCACGTCTCCTGTATTGCAGGGAGTTTCTTTACCACTAAGCCACCAGGGACTTATGTATAAATACATATGTGTAAAGTATATAAATATATGATTTATACTAAAAAAAAGATATAGAATTTGTATAAATAGGTACAATGTAATTCAGTTTGGGGCCAGAAAGTAATATTTCTACTTTACAGTTGAGGAAACTGAGGCCCAGAGAAGCTAAGTGTCTGGTCTGATAGCCAGCAATTGACAGAAAAAAATTGGAACCTTAGCATCTGTAACACTTGTATACAACTTACCATGTGCCAAGTCCTTTTCTAAGCATTTTGTATGTTATTATTCCACTTTGAAGCAGGACCTCTTGTTTTCAATTTACATGCTCAAACTGAGGTCTGAGAGACTATTGATGGTTACAGGTTATAGAATTTGCAAGTGGCAGAACCGGGATTTGAGCTCAGCCTGACTTTGGCCAGTAGGGGGCGTCCAGATGAGAAACATTTCAAGTTATTCTTTTATTTTGCATGTAAGGAAACAGGTCCCTAGAGGGTACTCATTGAGTTGCCAGAGATTCTACATGACTAGGCTGAGCCTTGGATCCAGGACCTAACTGGACAGAAAATCTCATGTTCCCCTTTTGGGAACAGTTTGTAGTGTCACAGTGATTACAATTACTATCTCATCCTTCAAGGCTCTGTTGTTTGCATGCCTCCTCCAGGGAGCCCTCTTGGATTTCTTTGGAATTCTCCTCTCATTTTTTTTCTCTCCACTACTCCCCCTCCCCATGCCAGATTAAGTCTCCCAGCCACCCTCCCCAGCTGGCCCAGCCAGCTTCCCAGGACTTACCACCGAGGTGTTGAGGCCAGAGGTCACAGGGTCCCTCAGCTCCTTGCATGTATTCCCTGGCTGGTGGCAGACATGCATCCCCTTAATAATGTTCTCTGGGTCTGTGGCCATCTTCACGTCTGACAGTCCCTTGGCCCAGGCCGATGAGCTAACCAGCCACATGAAGGCAAACACTGCTGTGGCCAGAAAGTCCTAGGACAGGCAGGGGAGAAGGATACAGCACCATGAGTGGGCTGCTTCATGCTGGGCTGTGGGGCCTCCTCAGATCACAGGCTTTCTTGGGAGAGGGGGGGTCCCCCAGAAGAGGCTGTCTCTCCCCTGCCTTTCCAGCTCTTGAAGCCCCCAACGCTCACTTGAAGGTGGCCCTTCTCACTTGGATGTGTGTGTATTTGTGTGTATATGTGACACAGAGGGTGTGAGAGTGTGATTGTGGTATGTGGGGTGTGTGTGTGTGTGTGAGGAGGGTTCTTTGAGTTGGTTGTCTAATCTGTGGCAAGTAGTGTGTCTTTCCACTTATGTCTGAATGTGGGGATTTGTGTCATTTTGTATCTGGAATGAGGGTGTATGAGTACAGCTGTATAGGAATCAGTGTGTCTGTGTGGTGTGATGGATGACAAGCATGACTGACGTAATGAACCTCTGTGTGCTCCTTTCTTTCATCTAGGCTGTGGGGTTTGGTGAGACGTGGTAAGTTTCCAGGTGTCTGGGATTCCGTGTGGGCTGTAGATGTGTCCCTGTCACTCTATGAGTCAGTGTCTCTGATGCTTGTAGCAGCAGTGCTTGCGTGTGAGCCTGTCTGGAATTTGGTGTGGCCTGTGAAAATGGCTGTGTCCCCAAGGCTCCATGTCCCCTGGCCCCTGCATGCATGTGAGTGGCTGTGGGAGCTCACCAGCATGGGCCCCTTGTTGTTCTCTCGGTACTTGTTCTGCAGGAAGATGTAGGTAGCCAGAGCCCCCATGGAGTAGAGGAAGGCAAACACAGCCACGGTGACAAAGAATTCAGCTGATGAGGAGTAGTTCCCCACCAGGAAGATTTTTTTAGGGTCCCCTTGGCAGGTGGGTGCCTCAAAGTACACTTCGTGCAGCCTGTGGAGAGAGGTGGGCAGGTGTGGCCTAGGCCCTAAGAACTCCCTTCCCCTCCCCGCTTCCCAGTCATGGGTCCTCCCAGATTCTGACATGGTCCCAGGAAGAGGAGGAGATAACCATTCACGAGCACCTACTGTGTACCAGTCACATTTCATTATTTGTTGTTGTTTGGCTTTTATGGTTGCACCACAGGGCTTGTGGGATCCTAGTTTCCTGACTAGGGATTGAACCCTAGCAAACCACTAGACCACCAGGAAAGTCCTGCAGTCACATTTCAGTGATTGCTGAGAACATCCCGGTGAAATAGGTGTTATTCAGCCCTCACTCCAATCTAGGCACTTTGCAGAACACACCAGGCACCCTCCCACCCTAGGATCTTTGCACTAGAATGCTCTCCTAGATATCTCATATCTTACTCATTCCATCTCCTTCAAGCTTTGCTACACTGGTCATCTCAGTGAGGTCTTTCCTGATCTATTTAAAATTAAATCTAACCATTCCCTCCCAGCACTCCTTAGCCCCTTTCTTTGGTCCATTTTCTCTGTAACTGTGAAACCCCTGGACATACCATGTATGTTACTTTTTTCCTTGATTTTTGCTGTAAGTACACGAGGGCAGGGATTTTCCCTTGGTTTTGTTCACTGTTATGCCCTTAAGTCTCGGAACAGTGCTGCCACATAGTAGGCGCTCAGTAAGTATTTATTAAATGAAATATGTGGAGGCAGAAACCAAGGCTTCAAGAAACGCACTGACTTGCCTAAAGTCACACAGCTGGCATGGGAATGACAGAATTGGGATCTGAATCCTGTGTTTTCCCCCTATGTCATGTTGACTCTTCTCTCCACCTCACTTCAGGTCCTCAAAAGAAAAACAAATGTGTACATAGCCGAGGAGAGCCCAGAGACTACAAGATAGGAGGAGACGGACAGAAAGACAGGAGGGTAGAAGGGATGCAAGAACAGGATGGGTGTATGTGAGGTGTGGGTGGGACGGATGGGGGCATACTGCGAAGACATGTGGTGTGAGGGAAGAGGGGTCATAAGGAGGAATGTGTGTGGGGAGAAAGACTGGGGTGACGTCCCTGAACTCCGACCTCAGGTTGGAGGGCAGGATCCTGAGATAAGCAAATGTGCCAGTGCCCTTGTATAGCAAAGCTTAAACGTATTGATCAGCTCTAAGCATTTTACATAATTGCCTCTTTTACGGACTCTTCCCCACAATTCTCTAAAGGAGGCATTATTATACCTGTTTTACAGAAGAACAAACCGAGGCTCTGCAAGACTAAGTTACTTATCCGGGGCTGCAAGGCTGCTAAATGATGGAGCTAGGAGTTGGGTCTGGTTTGAGGTTTTGGGTTTCTAGGGGGGAATGAGGGGTCCTTAAGGGGGGTTATTGGGGCAGTGGCAGGGTTGGTCAAGGGGAACACAGGCTAAAGATTTTTTTTCCCCTGGCAGACTTGTGGGTAAAGGGCAGATCCTCAGGACCTGAGGCTCTAGGCATGGGAGGTGTTGGGGGCCACAGATTTTTGTAGCCTTCTAGATTCCAAATTATCCCATGCTGCAGCTCCTACTCCTTCCCCAAATTCCCTTGGCTTCTGTGAGCTGGTGGATCCCTGGTTGCCATGCCCCCTCCCCAGCCTCTCAGACCATGCCTCTCTGGCACTTTTCTTTTGATTATTGCTCAGGACCACTGCTGGACTATCCTCTCTTCAGTCTTCCCTCTCACCTTGGATGATCTCCTGAGCCTACATTTACCCTTAATGCTCAAAAATCCCTAATTTCCAACTCAATCCCTGACCTCTTTCCTGAGTCCTTTAAACTTCTTTATTTCCCTTATTTTAACAAACACTTATGGAGTGCTTATTGTGTGTCTGGCACTGTGCTAAGCATTTTAAAAGTATTAATTCACTTAATATGTATCATAACCTTATAGGGTGAGTATAATTATCTCCTTTTATGGATGAAGAAATGGAGACCTGGAGCAGGTATGTGTCTTGTCCTAGTAGTGGAAGAGCCTCAGGAGCCTCCATTGAAATTGTTCTTGTAAGTCTCTGTCTTTCCATGGCTAGGAGGGAAGCCTCTCCATTAGGGCAGCCACTTTGCCTGCTTGTGCTCACTCTCGTGTACCTAGCATCTAGCATACGGGGAGAGCTCAATAATTTTCCAAACTGCTTAATTGGGTTTAATCCTTCCCTATGGCTAAGCAGCACCCCCTCATTATTCTTTATTTTAAGACCCTGCAGGAGGATCCCCTCCTTGGATTTCTCCCAATTTGCAATTATCTTTATTAATTTGTTTATTTGTTAAATGTTGGCTTCATAAGGTAGCTTGGTCTGTTCTGTTCACTGTTTTATCCCCAGCACTTTGAGCAGTACCTGACATACAATAGGTTCTCAAGAAATGTATATGGAATGAATGAATGGGAATTAAATAATAATATTGGCTAACATTATTATCCTATGGCATTAAGGATACATATATATGTGTGTGTGTGTATATATATATATATATATATATATATAAAATTTTGAATCTTATTTATTGCTAGTGTCCTGTCCCTCCCCTTCACTAGAACATAGCCAGAGGGCAACAGCCTATGCCTGTCTTGGTCACCACGTGTCCCAGATGTCCAGAGCAGTGCCAGGCACAAGGTAGGTGCTCAGTGCATGCGCAGTGACCTGAGTGGGTGTGGTCTCCCGAGGTGCAGGCTGGGCAGGAGCCTCTGGGGTGGAAGTGTCGGCCAGTCCCAACCCCCCACCCCCATCCCAGGCCTGTCAGGATCCCAGGGGCGGGCTAGAGTGGGGGCACACCTGAAGGGGTACTCGAATTCGACCTCGATGTTGAGGTCACTCTTGGTCTTGTTGGCACAGTCCACACTCAGCTGGAACTCCCCACTGTAACTGCCGCATGTGGCAAAGGCGAAGATGGCAAAGACCTTGGGCAGTAGGGGTGGGGATGGCCACAGTGAGCCTGTGTGCACGTGGGATGGGGCTGCCCTCCTCTGGACAGATCAGGACCCAGCATAGGCAGCAGCAGATGGACTAGTCCCCACCCCCACCCCCTAATCAGGGCTCATGGGGCCCAAGGACAAGCTGATTAGAGGGGTGTGACTATCTCTTCCAGTCTTTCTCCCACTGTCTCTCTTGGGCTCTACATCTCAATAATGCTCTGATTCCCCTTGTCCTGGCTCAGTCTCTATTTCTCTCTCTGTCTCTGTCTCTCTCTCTGTATTCTGCCTGTCTCTGTTGTCCTCTGTGTCTCTACTTCTCTCAGTCTCTCTCTCTCTCTCTGTATTTCTCAATGTCTTTGTCTTTCTCAAATATCTCTGTCTCTGTTTCTCTCTCTACTTCTCTAGTATCTATGTGTGTCTCTTTCCGCCTCTTCTCTCTCTATATATATATCTCTCTCTGAATGTATGTCTCTCTGTGTGTGTCTTTCTGTTTCTTGGTCTGTCTTTAACTCCCTGCTTTGTCTCTGACTCGTCTCTATGGTGCTCTCTCTGTCTCCCTCCTGCCTTTCTGTTTATCAATTTATCTCTTTCTCTTTTCCCAGTGGGTCTCTTCTCCTTCTATCTCTTTCTCTTCCCCACCCCACTTTTCTTCCTCTCTTCCTGTGTCTGTTTCTCTTTGCATCTCTGTTCATCTTTCTCTGTCTCCCATTTCTTTGTCTCTTTCTCATCTCTATGTCTTTTTTTCTGGGTATTTCCATCTCTGTCTCCATCATTCCTGATCTCCCATTCTCTCTGTCTCCTTCACTGTCTCTGGGTTTCTCTGGCTTTGTGTCTCTCCCTGGAGCAACCAGCTCAGGCTTCACCTCCCTTGCCCCTCTCTCACTTTAGGAGAGGAAGTAGCACATCACCATATTCCACTTCATGATGTGGGTACCCTTGGCCTTATGTGATGTTACATCACGGCCCATCCATTCTCTGGCCCCAATGCCCTGGGACTTCACCCTGGAGCCCAATTTCCCCATACCCTTTGCCCCCCACCCACCCATCTATTCCTCCCTCCCCATCCATATTCCACCTCTGCTGTTCCGAATCCCAGTACCTCCCTCTTTCTCCCCACAGCTCAGACCACACTCACCCATTGCAGCACCTTCACGAAGCCGAGGGGCTCCTTGACCACCCGGAACTGACCCCCAGCCACCAGCTGAGGAGAGAATTAGTGGGGAAGGGTGGGGTTGTTGGGGATGGAGAGGGAGGTGAGGGACAAGGCCACCAGGCAATAACCCCTGGGGATAAGGCATGTGATCTCGGGGAGAGAGTGACATTTGGAGAGAAGGTGAAAAGGAGAAAGCGACACTTTGGGGAAGGTGTGAGCTCAGGGCCTCTGAAGAAGATCCCTGGGGTTCAGGGAGGTGGGGAGATAGATGGCAGAGGGGTTCAAGGGTGAGGAAGATGGGGATGGAGTCAGGACTAATTAAGGAAGGAGAGAAGGTTTGAAATCGTAAAGATGAGTCAGATGGCAAAGGGGATCAGGTGGAGAGAGTGAGGAAGGAGTTGGGGTTCATTAAGGTGGGGGAAATGGTCTTGGATGGTGAAGGTGAGTCACAACAGGGAGGGAGTTGGGTTGGCTAGGGTGGGGGAGGGGTCTGCAGCGGTAAAGGTGAGTCAGATGATGGTGGTGGGGTGTCTGAGATGATGAGGATGGGGAGGGGTTAGTCCTGGTTAGAGATGGGCGAGGTTCTGAGGTGGTGAAGAAGAGCGCGATGGCAGAAAGTCTAGACTGATTAAGGTGGAGAAGAGCTGGGACATGGCTTCACTATATATGTGCTGGGGGAAGGGAGACTAGGGGTTTGGGAGAAGCGAAACCTATCGTCCCCCTTGGTCTGCTCTGGGGGAAGAGGTGGTCGTCTACCAGGGTACCATCTGGAAGGGTCTGGAAGGGGCAGGTGTCAGCCCTCCCTTGCACCCCCGCCCCCACTCCTTCTGTCGCTCTATTTCCTAGCTCATCCGCAGCACCCTCCAGTCTTTCTTCCATTCTCCCTTCCCTTCCCTCCTTGCCTATACCTTAGCTCTAAGACCCCTCTTCTTCCTCGCTCGCCTGTAAGGAAATGGCTTCTGGAGGCTCCCGCTGCGGCAGTGAGGACAGCCCTCGCTGCGGCAAAGGGCACACTCCTTTTCTCCACCTCCCCTTCCCTCCCCTCGTCTGCCGCAGACCCCAGCCCCAGAGCCGGGGACCAGGCGTCCGCTGCTAGAATTCTGGCCACCACCTCTTAGAGTAGGCAGATTCACTGCGAGCCGGGCGAGGAGGCCGGGCAGCGGCGGGCTCTGTCCGCGGTGCTGGAACGCGTACCTGATTCACCACGTCCATGTCGGCCAGCAGCAGCATCAGCAATGCGGGGGGCGGGAGGCGCCTGCTAGCAAGGGCGGGCGCAGGGTGCGGCGGGGGCGGCGCGCGATCGTCGGAACAGCCCAGGCGGCCGCAGCTCCGCCCCTCGCACCCCCGCCTCACTCGCCAAGGGAGCCTGCGCACAGCGGCTGTGTCTAAATCTCACTGGTCGCCATTCCAGCCGGGAGGTTGGAACCGTGCGAATTCTCTGGGAAGGTCGTGATCTCTGAAAACACGGCTAGATATCTGGGGAGGCGGACCGTTCCGTCCTACAGTAGGACAGTTTGCTAGCCCTTTACTGAATTTGTTGAATGTGTTCATTTATTTAATCCTTAGAACGTCCCTATGTGGTAGGGACCATTGTCCCCATTTTTATAAGTGAGGAAAATTAGTCCCCAGAGAGGTTAAGCGACTTGTATAACATTACCCAGCTAGTTATTGACAGTGCCCAAAGTCCCTGCAATTTAAACGTAGTTCAGGGTCTTGAGGGTTTCTTCTTTTCTGCATTTTCAGAACATTAAAAACAAAACAAAACACCCTCCCACTCCCAACTATCTCCCCTGTTTCTCTCTTCCTTAGTCAAAGTGTTGCTTTGACTAGGGAACAACTTAGTCAACTCCCTACTCCAACTCTACATTTGTTCAGTTCAGTTCAGTTCAGTCGCTCAGTTGTGTCCAACTCTGTGACCCCATGAATCGCAGCACATCAGGCCTCCCTGTCCATCACCAACTCCCGGAGCTTACTCAAACTCATGCCCATCGAGTCAGCGATGCCATCCAGCCATCACATCCTGTCGTGCCCTTCTCCTCCTGCCCTCAATCCCTTCCGTCATCAGGGTCTTTTCCAATGAGTCAACTCTTCGCATGAGGTGGCCAAAGTATTGGAGTTTCAGCTTTAGCATCAGTCCTTCCAATGAACACCCAGGACTGATCTCCTTTAGGATGGACTGGTTGGATCTCCTTGCAGCCCAAGGGACTCTCAAGAGTCTTCTCCAACACCACAGTTCAAAAGCATCAACTTTTCAGTGCTCAACTTTCTTCACAGTCCAATTCTCACATCCATACATGACCACTGGAAAAACCATAGCCTTGACCAGACGGACCTTTGTTGGCAAAGTAATGTCTCTGCTTTTTAATATGCTGTCTAGGTTGGTCATAACTTTCTTTCCAAGGAGTAAGCATCTTTTAATTTCATGGCTGCAATCACCATCTGCAGTGATTTTGGAGCCCCCCCAAAATAAAGTCAGCCACTGTTTCCACTGTTTCCCCATCTATTTCCCATGAAGTGATGGGACCAGATGCCATGATCTCAGTTTTCTGAATGTTGAGCTTTCAGCCAACTTTTTCCCTCTCCTCTTTCACTTTCATCAAGAGGCTCTTTATTTCCTCTTCACTTTCTGCCATAAGGGTGGGGTCATCTGTATATCTGAGGTTATTGATATTTCTCCCAGCAATCTTGATTCCAGCTTGTGCTTCTTCCAGCCCAGTGTTTCTCCCAGCCCAGTGTTTCTCATGATGTACTCTGCATATAAGTTAAATAAGCAGGGTGACAATATACAGCCTTGACATACTCCTTTCCCTATTTGGGACCAGTCTGTTGTTCCATGTCCATTTCTAACTGTTGCTTCCTGACCTGCATACATGTTTCTCAAGAGGCAGGTCAGGTGGTCTGGTATTCCCATCTCTTTGAGAATTTTCACAGTTTATTGTGATCCACACAGTCAAAGGCTTTGGCATAATCAATAAAGCAGAAACAGATGTTTTTCTGGAACTCTCTTGCTTTTTCGCTACACTTGTTACAACCTGTTTATTCCTCAGTCCTCTCTTAATTGGATTACACCTCCTTCACACTGCCAAAATGAGGCCCACTGAGGTCAATGGCAATTGCCAGGTTGTAGAAGCCAATGGATAAATACAGTTGGAATTTAAAATGCTAAGCCTCACTCGCACTAAAAGAAATGCCTATAAAAGCTACCAAGACATTGTTTTTCACCTTTGAGGGTGGGGAATATAAAACAGTTTGATAATGCTCAATATTAGTGGGTTGACCAGAAATAGGCATTCTCATAAATTGCCCATGGAAGTTAAATTGGTATAACTTCTGTAGAGAATAGTTTGGCAGGATATAGAAAACTATCAAGCCCATATATGTGGCTCAGCACTTAACACTTGTAGGAATTTGTCTTGCAGGGAGATTCATACATGTGCTAAAGGAGGTATGTATAAGATGATACACTGCAGTGCTCTTTATTTTTTATTATAAAAACAAGGAAATGTGGACACTTCCCAAGTGCTCATTACTGGTGGCCAGTTTAACAAAAAACTCAGCTAGAGCCACAAAATGGAGTACTATGTAGCTGTCATTACTAATAATATGGAGCTGTGTAATGATCTCCAAGATACTTAAGTAAGAAATGCAAGAGGTCAAATTATGTGGGAATTGTGTACAAACAGAATGAAGGGATTGTATCATAATGATAGAATAACTAACATTTTTAAGTTGTGGCAATTCTGTGAGCTTCTCATATATCACTCATTTAAATCCTCACAACAACTCTATGAGTCAGGTACTACTACTATCCCAAACTAAGCTGAAGGAATTTTCTAAAGTAATACAGTCAGAAAGTGATAGAACTAGGATTTGAATAGCTGGTAAGTGGCTGAATTTTGAACAGCTGGTAAGTGGAGGAGCTAGGATTTGAACCCAGGAAGTTTGGCTCCAGCACCTGTTACTGTTAGCCATTGTGCTAACTTATCAGTACAGCATCCTATAACTGTATAAAAGATATCTGATAACACTGGTTGCCTCCAGAGGGAAGGGAAACTTTCACTTTATACTCCTCTGTACTTTTGATTTTTGAACTATCTGAATGTATAGTTCAAATGTATGTATGAAGAGCATGGGCTTTGCCATCCAATTGCTGGAATTTGCATCCCACCTCTAATATCTGTTCCTGTATGACTTTGGACAGGTAAGATAATTTAAAATGGTACTTACAGGATAGTTGCACTGATTAAACAAGATAATCACTGTAACACACCTAGTTCGGGGCCCAGTAAATGGTTCATTTTACCTCTACACATCTCTGGAACCTACTCCCTTCTCTCCATTTCCTCCCCCACCTCCCCTGGCTAAGGCAACCATCATTCCTGCCAAATTTAGCATCTCCAGTCTCTTCCCCCTCCCTTCTGTTTTCAGCACAAACGTCAGAGCATCTATTTAAAATGCAAAGTTAACTATATCACTACCCTGCTCAAATTCCTTTCATGGCTCCCCACTGCGTTCAGGAAAAGCCCCAGGGGTTGGGGCCTGGCATTCAAAGGTCTGCATCATCTGGCCTCGGTGGCTTGTCCCACCTCATCCCTCAACAACTCTATTCCCTCTCTTTACCATACCCATAACTTACTTTCCCACCATACACAAGCCCAACCACCCTAAGCCTTTGTTTCCAGACCCAGTGCAACTCTATATTCTAAATCCCAGATCTCCAATTTTGGTTTCTCTCAAATTTCAGTCCTGGTTCAATTGACACAAATTATACAAATGAGAACCCCTGGTCTGAGAGCTGGGGGGAGACCTTAGGTCAGACCTTCCCTGCAGGTGGCCCCATCCTGTGCCACTTCCAACACTACCTCAATTCCTTTGGCATGGATATGACTAACACTTTGGACAAGTCCTGACACAGGTCTAAGCCAGCTCAGTTTGTAGTAAGGGAAACCCAGAACGGTGCCTGGTACAAAACAAATGCCTGTTAAACCTTCACTGAATGAAGGAGACCCCAAAGTTTGGGCAATGACTAAAGGTAGGAAAAGAAGCAGAAAGAGGAGCTGTGGGATCTGGGAATGGGGTACTCTAAGTTGGTCTCAGGAAAGCCAGGTTGGCCCTGAGTGGGTTCTCCCAGGCTAGAAACCTCACTCTAAGCTGTCACCCATGTCTTTTACAAATGGAGTTAGATTGTCTCTCTCTCTCTCTTTCTGGCCATGCTGTGTAGCATGCGGGATCTTAGTTCCCCACCAAGGATCGACCCCCATGCCCATGCAGTGGAAGTGCAATCTTAACCACCATACCACCAGGGAAGTCTTAGATTTCCTTTTGTTCCAGTAGAAGAGGCAAAGTAGGAGACAGGGTGATCCCAATTTAGTCTTCCTCTCTGACACTGTCAGAGGGCCCCTCTGCCTAAGACACATCACATGCCAGGCTAATTCTAACCTCCAAGCCTTACTACTGGCAGGCCTTGCCTGGAGGTTTCCATATCTTTCCTTTCCATCCATTTGTCCTGCCTCAGTCTGATCTGCCTGACCCCTTGTGGAATCTCTGACTTTCCTCCACCCCTCATCCAAACCCCCACACATCCTCTCTCTCTCTCTCTCCACTTCCCTCCATCTGTCTAGTACCCTCCCTTCCCCCAGCACCTCCACTTTGTCTCCAGCTTTTTTTGGCTGCTGTCTCTTCCTCCTCCTCCTCCCTCCTTCCCTGACGCTGAATAATCAGGCCTGGCTGTCCTGGTTTCTGGAAATACCCATGTGTGGGCAGTGGCTCAGGGCTGATACAGGGGATGGATAGATGGGAGCCGCTGGGCAGCCCCAGGCCTCCAGTGCAAAGACACTAAAATCTAGGAGTGTGGTCCACGGCTGTCTCCTTCTGAGGAAGGGAGGGAAGGAAGTTTATTGAGCAGTGGGGGAGGGGTAGGACTTCAGAGGGCATGGACGCAGGCCATCTCATCTCCTAGGTCCTCCTCATCAAAATGGGAGAGGATGGACTCTTCGTCACTATACAGTGAGCTGGTCCCCTGTGCCAGCAGGTCACTGGCAGCACTGTCCATCTCGTCCAGGGTCAGGCGACATGCATCTGCAATCTCCTGCTTGGCCAGGGCCACGAAGCGTGGGTCTCGGGCGAAGAGGCCCAGACCCTCAGAGATGAGCACCTGGGGGGCACAGATGGGATCTGTGTTGACAGTGGGTGCAGCATGGAAACAAGGCAATATGCACAGAAGGGTTGCTGTGAATGAGTGATGAACCTATGAAGGCACACAGGGATGTCTGTGGGGGACAGCGGGGCACACATCTTGCTGAGCAGAAGTTGCAAAGAGAGAGCTACATGCACAACACAAAGACTGGGGACCCCTTTCCCCTCCTTCCCAAGCTCCCACCTCCTCCCCTTCTCTCCCGTCCCTCCTGCCCCCTCCCCTTCTGGACTCACAGCCTCCACCAGGCTGTCAGCACTGCCCCTTTTGCCATGGCTGGGGTCCGAGTGGGTTCCAGGCACATGCAGACAGGTGAAGGTGCGCAGTGGACTGCTGGATTTGCCGAGGTATCCCTCTCCTGCTGCACCCTCCTCCACCAATAGCAGTGGGGCATATAGGAGTCGGCCCCGCTGAGGAGGAGTTGCCCAGGAACCCTGGACCAGAATAAACATCAGGGGCATAGTGATGGATGGATGGGGTATGAGGATCTAGGAATCACTCCCGTGCCTACCTCTTATCCCAAACCACAACTGGAGTCAAACTGAAAGGGTATAAATCAGACTTGAGTTTATTTAAAAGCACAGAAGGCCTGGGTTTGCCACCTACTAGCTGTGTGATCTTGGGTAAGCCTCTCTGGGCCTCAGTCTCCTCATCTGTAAACTGGGGCTAATAGTACCCACCTTACGGGCACACTGAGGATCATGTGAATTCACATGTGCCCCCTTCTTCAAAAGGACCTGATATGTAGGGTATTTGATAAATTCAGCCTCGGCTGCCCCCACCCCTCCAGACCTCAGCCTCCCTCCCCCACCTCACCTGTGCCCTATTGGGCCCTGAGTTGCGTCCACGATGATAGGTGCCTGGGATGGGTAAATCTTCACAGCTGCCCTGGCGCCGCAGACACTGGATGGTGAAGGACGGCTTCCGACCTGGGGGTGTGGGGGGCACCGTGGGCAAAGGAATGTCAGTGCCTCCCCAGCCCTCTGCCCTGATGGCCCGGGGCGGGGGGGCCCGGGCCCATGTCTACTCTCACCTGCAGGCGTTGGGGGCAGCAGACGACGGCGTGGTGCTTGGTGGCCATCCACGTATCTCTGGGGTCTGTGAGATGGCAAAAGGATGGGGCGTGGGGGAGTCCCTGCCTGTTCATCTAGGTAGGAGAGCCTGTTCATGAGGAATGGCTGGGGTGAGCTCAGGCCTGGGCATGTGCAGTGGGTTACCATCCCTCCCACACATGGGCTCATGGGCTCATCTTACGTGTCGTGGCCAGACTGCTGGCTCAGGACTTCCTCTTGCTCATCCTGCCTCTCTTGCCCTTTGGTTGCCTTGGACTGAGAACTTCCTTCTTCTGGAATGGTGAAAATGAGAACCCCAGAGCTTCTCCTGGGGAAAGTGAGGCAGGTTAGGCAGACCAGATCCTCTCAATGCGGTCCTGAGCCCCTGACTCCCTCTCATTCCATGCCCTACCTTCTACAGAAACACAGGACTTTTAATTTTTTCCTAATTGAGACAATTCACAAAACATAAAGTTAACATGTCATCATTTTAAGGCAAACATAGGCTTTCTTTTAACAGTTGTCTGTCTCATTGGAAGTACCCAAAGTTTCCAAAAAATCAAAGCAGGCTCTCTCTCTGGCCTGCTGAAGAGAGAGCTTCAACACAAGAACTGGGGGTGTGTTGGGGAGGTGAGGAGGGGGAGGCTGTAAAAGCTAGTGTGACCTCATTTCATCCATCATTCCCATGAGGTAAGTGCTACCATCACTCCCCATTCACAGGTGAGGAAATTGAGGACCACAGAAACTAAGTGACTAGCTCAAGGTCACTTAGCAAATAGCAGAGCCAGGATTTGAACTTAAACCCGTTTTGCTCCACATCATATGTTTTTGTATATTAAACCTCTGTATTGCCTCTCTCATATGAATCTCTTATTACCCTCTGTTCCTACCAGAGCCCTTGAATCCCCTCCATTCCTCCCCACATTTCCATTTGAAGGCCCTCTTATGCTCACCACCTCTGCCCCCTGAAGTCCCCATTTAGTGGCTAGTCCCTGTTTTCCCTCACAAGCCTCCCGCAGAGCTTTGGCCATACCTGTGGGCATGGGACCCAGACTGGGGAACATTGGACTGTCTGGAGTTGGGAGCTCCCCCATCGTCATCACTGAGTCCGAGGGAAAGTGAATCTGGAGGTTTGTCTCCAGCAGGCAGAGACACAGAAATCACGGAGCTCCGGCGAGATGGGGGCTGGGAGCCCATCAGGGCCTATGGAAATCACAGGATTGAGGATTGCATCCAGGTTATAACTAAGTCACTTGGTCAAATAGTGTGTATCCAGCAAGTGCCCCAGGGGCTGAATCTGGGTCTTGTCCCCAACCCAACAGTGGGTGGTAGGTACCAAATAAACATTTGTCTACTGTAGGGTGTCTTCTCTGGGGGGATTCCTCCCAGAGGCAGTATGGAAGTCACTCAAAGGGTTGAGGGAGTATTCAGTTCAGTTCAGTTCAGTCGCTCAGTCTTGTCCGATTCTTTGCGACCCCAAGGATTGCAGTACGCCAGGCCTCCCTGTCCATCACCAACTCCCAGAGTTTACTCAAACTCATGTCCATTGAGTTGGTGATGCAGTTGGCCAAAAAGTTCGTTCAGGTTTTTCCATAACAAGGTACTGAAAAACTCACACGAACTTTTTGGCAAACCCAATATTTTCCGATCAAGATTGTCTGGGGGAGTGAAAGCTTATTGTCCTTACTGTGTACGTTTCCAGGTCCTCCTTTTCCTCCTCCTCTCCCTCCTGCCCCTCTTCCCCTTCCTCTTCCTCTGTGTCACAAGTGAGGGCCTGCCGCATCTCTGGACCCAAGTCTTGCAGGCTCCTCAGGCCAGCCTGTGGGGGTAGAAAAATAGGGAAGTGGGCAGCTCAGGGTCTAAACTTCTCTGCCCTTGGGTAGGAGTGTGGGGTGGGAAAGGAGGCCCACAGCCACCCCTGATCCTCTATGGGTCCTGGGGCCTCAGTTTCTTCATCTGTGACATGGCTTCCATGAGATCAAGAAGGCAGTCAGCCTCAGCTACAATGCTCCCACATATTCCCACCCAGCTCAGCCCCTGCTCCCAAGACCTGAAGGGCAGAGGAGGTGCTTGGGGGGGCCTCGGTGCCTAGTAGCCCCTTTTCTTTCCTCCGCCGGAATTTGCGGAAATAGTCCTGGATCAGAAATGTGGCGTAGAATTTGCCCACAGTAACTTCTTCCTCTGGGAGCAAGGGAGAAGAGGCAAGGTCACACAGAAGTCCTCTGCTCTCCCCGCCTCTCCCACCAAGGCCTGGACTCTCCCCCTGCACCCCTCAGTCTGTAGCCAGGCATGGTTTGGTGGTGGTGAGCAAATCCTCGACATTCAGAGGCGGGCTTAAGAAATTGAGGTGGAACCAGTTTACCGTCAGCCGGCGGGATGACCTCATCTAGCAGCTTCTGCTTCATCCGCTTCCAGATCTTTTTGATGACAATCCGCAGCTCCTGATTGGCTTGCTCCAGGTTCCCTGCATCGGGAGAGGATATGGGCATAAGCCAATGGGAAGAACACTTCACAGCTACTCCCTCACTGTTGGAGGGGGCGTCACAAGTTTCTACTGCAGCCACACACTGCTCTGGTTGGACAGGTGGGAAAACAGATCTGGAGAAGACAAACTCATCTATTTTGAGGTTCAGAGCTAGGAGTGGGGCCCATTCTCCAATTAGTTTGCTCCTGGCACCTTCCCCAGAAACCCTCTCCCTCCTGCCCCTCCCCCTCTTCCCCACACACCTTCTGTCTTGATCTTCAGGGATGTCCGAACCAGGGCAAAGAGTGTGGCGTTGAATGTCACTGTCCCATCTGAGTTGAGGGGCATGTTCATCGCCACAAGTCTCTGTGCACAGCAGGGATATGGAAGCCACTTTGGGCAAATGCCAGGGATGCAGGCATGTGATACCCAAGGGCAGAAGCCTTTGAGGATGTCATCAAACACCCCTTCTCTGCCCAAGGCAGGGTCCCTGCCCACCCCAGTCATATGGTGGACAGTCCTCTCCGAGGCAGTGGTGGGAAGGTGCACAGACCTTGCAGGCCACTCGGTGTGGGCACAGCTTCCCGAATCCCAGGGGGGGCTGGATGCGTCTCAGCAGGGCAACCACATCCAGGTGCTTGATGCGGCCTCTGGGGAAGGTAGGGGTGGATAGGAGGCACCACTGGGTTGGAGATAACCCCTCTAGTCCTTACTCAAGGTCCTACCAGCTCATCACTCCCTCCCCCCACCAACACCCCATAGCCTGCCAGGGAAGCTTTGGGAGGGGAAAAGGCAGAGAACAGCAGCAGTGGGAACCTTGGAGCATCTACTGACTGGGTAATGGGAGGCACAGGTGAGTGGTTCTGGGGTTGGAGGACTGTGTGGGGCAGTACACTGTCCTTTGGGATCCCAGGTATGGGGTTAGAGGGCATACTTGGCCCCAGGGTCATATTCAGACCAAATCCTCTTGAATTCATCGAGGTGATGGGGGCCCAGGATGGACCAATCTCTGGTTAGATAATCAAAGTTGTCCATGATCACAGCCACAAAGAGATTTATGATCTGTGGGCCAGTGAGTAGGAGAGGTTAGGTGAAGGGCAGAGCAGGGTATGTGGGTTTGGTGGGAGGCTGAGGTAAGCTTATATGGTCACTGACTCAGGAGTCCTTGGTTTGATCTTGTCAGGCCAGCCCTTTCATCTGCTCTGAAGATCTGGGCTCCCCACCTCATCCCCAGACTTCCTCAGAGCCAGCCCCTGGGACAGTGGTAAGAGTGGTGGGGAAATGGTCCTTACCAGGAATGCACAGAGCATGAAGAAGCTGATAAAATAGGCGATGGCAAAATTGCTACCACAGCTAAATTCCTCACCAGGGCCGAAGTCAGACTCAGGGTCACACCGGCTTCCGGGAAGGCTGGCAAGCATTATCTCCTGCCATGCCTCACCAGTAGCACACCTGGGGGGTCACACAGGGATGCTATCTTGGAGGGGAGGCTGTGACATCATGACAAGGGGCTGCAGGGGCCAGAGGGGTGAGGAGATGACCTACTTCTTGCCAGGCGCAACATCTGGTAAAGATAGCGTTTCAATATTTTAACAGCTGGTGTGGCCATATTGATGACAGTCATGTTTTCATTTTATAGATGCAAGGTCTAGGAAAGGTATACATCTTGCAGCCAGAAAAAGGATGACTGAGGCTAGACTATTCTAAAAGATTCTTTAGAACACAACCAGAAAAGGTCTCCAGCAATATGGAGTCCCACAGCACCAGCACTAGTGTTAGTTGCTCAGTTATGTCTGACTCTTTGCAACCCCATGGACTACAGCCCGCCAGGCTCCTCTGTCCAAGGGATTCTCCAGGCAAGAACACTGGAGTGGGTAGCCATCTCCTTCTGCAGGAGATCTTCCCGACCCAGTGATCGAACCTGGGTCTTCTGCATTGCAGGCAGATTCTTTACCATCTGAGCTACCAGGGACACCCCATGGAGTCCCATGCTGCCCTGTTATTTCCATAACTCAGGCAGTCTGGGGCCCAGAGAGGCTATGTGGCCCCCCCAAAAGCATGCTGGAGATCAAAGCAGCAGGGAAGGAGTGTTTGTGTCACCTGAACAAAAGCAGTACAGCCTGTGGAAAGGTCTGGAAGTTGTTGTTTCGGTTGATCTGTGTGCCATCCTGAAGAGCCACCTTGCCGAACATCTGTGGGCACACAAGGGCTGTGTCAGAGGGGTGACTCTGTGCCCTTTACAGGATCCCACCCATTTCACAACACCTAATACCCAAAGGATCCTCACCACACTGACAAGCAGGCACTGCTGACCCCATTACACAGATGTGTGGATTGACTCAGGGTTATGCGGCTTGTCTGTCTTTATATCCCCACTTTGGGCTCATTCCTGTCTAACCCCTTTCAACAGAAGAATGCCCAAGGGATGCTCCCTAGTGTTTGCACTTACCTGCATCCCTATGACTGCGTAAATGAAGAATATCATTGCAATGAGAAGAGCCACATAGGGTAAGGCCTATGGGGGTGGAGAGGACGATAGGTCTCAGGTCCAGGCAGAGAACTGTAAGCCCCAGAATGCACTGCTCCCTCAAGCCTGGGCCATATGAGAGATGTGGTCCATCCCCAAGGTGCCTACAACACAGTATTAAATACAATAGAGTAAGGTCTGTAAGGCCAAGACATGTTGGGAATTGAAAGCCCACAGAAGATAGAAAACTGGAAATAGTAAGCTGCTGATGGGTATGACATGCTGGAAGGGGTAGTTCTGGGGTAAAAGGACAAGCTGAGAGGTGTGAGGTAGGGATGAGAGTGGACAAAGGAGTGGGGGAGTTACCTGAAAAGACTTGATGAATGTCCAAAGCAGTGTGCGAATCCCTTCACCCTTACTAAGAAGCTTGACCAATCGCATGACTCGGAAGAGGCGAAAGAAGGTGATTGAAATGCGGGAACTGTCCTCAGAGCTCTGGGGTTGAGTTTGTGGTGAGTATGCTCAGTTCACATTTGCTTCAGCCACCTCCCGGTCTTATAATTTGACCTCCCCAAGCCATCAAATCCCTCAGAACCCAGGCCCCAGAGTGGTTAGGGAACATTTCTAAGGACTTTCAGGCAGAAAGGAAAGGATGGTAGGTGAAGAGAAAGGCATAGAGTCCCTGCTGTGAGGTGGGGGGGGGGTTACCTCGCCCAGGTGGCCACCATTCTGGATGGAGATATTACCAAAACAGAGGTGATGAGATCACAGGGCCAATGAACAAGAGGAGAAATGATGGAGCAAATATGAGGGATAGTGGATGGCAGAGTTATTATCCAGGGATGATGAGGAAGGTTATGTAGTAATGGATCAGGATGGTTGAAGGAAAAGTTGGTAATAAGGGTGAAAGGGAAAGGAGAAGGTACAGAAGATGATGGAGAGGAGAGATATTGGAGCCAGTGGAGGAAATGGTGGAGCCAGTGGTTTCATGGACATGAGAGAACCGATGGAAGATCCAATGGAGAAGCCAGTGATGGAGATATGGACCCGGCAGCATTGTCAACGGAGGACCACGTAGTACCCAATGAAGAAGATGATGGAGCCAATGGTGCAATCAGTGGTGATGACAGAGCCATGAAAGACCCAGTGTCAGAGACGATGGTGTTAGTGGAGGAAATGGAGCCAATAAAGGAATCAGAAGAGACGGTGGAGTCAAAGCAGGAGTTGGTGGAGATGATGGGGCCAATGGAGGGGGATGTAGAGGCAATGAAGAAAATAATGGTAAAAACAAGAGAGTCATTTTAGGAGCTGCTGGAGGCAGGGCATAACTTGCAAATAAATGGGGGTGGGGTGGGAGAAGAGGGCTTTGGCTGAACCCAAGAGACTCAGAAAAGATGGAGCTAGAGGAAGGAGTTCTGAGTCCTTGGGAGTGAGTAGGATATGAGTGGGAACCACCTCCCCATGAGAGAAAGCCCTGGGGTTGAGGTGAGAGAAGGTTGGTAGGAGTAGAGTGGGTTAGTAGAGAGGCCAGTCCTCACATTGACTTCAGTGACGGCAATGTCCACTACGCTGCCCACCACAATAAGAGCATCAAATGTGTTCCAGGCATCAGTAAAGTAATGCTGTAGACAAGAGGAAAGCAGTGCCCTGTCTTCTCAGAGCTAGCAAGCTAGGGTATGGGGCTAGTAGTGGTTGGGGACACTGGGGAGGCAGGGCCTGGGTTGGACTATGATAGGGCTGCATCTAGATCCCTCTTCCTCCTTAGTATCATGACTCGCTGGTTGCTGCCCACCCCCCGGTGGTGGTGGTTTAATTGCTAAGTCGTGTCCGACTCTTACGACCCCATGGACTGTAGCCCACCAGTCTCCTCTGTCCATGGGATTTTCCAGGCAAGAATACTGGAGTGGATTTCCATTTCGTTCTCCAGGGGATCTTCCCAACCCAGGAATCAAACCCAGGTCTCCTGCATTGCAGGCAGATTCTTTACCGACTGAGCTATGAGGGAAGTCCCCCCTGAGAGGTATGCAATGAGCTCCACCCTAAGGAATGGATTAGGTCTGATGGGGGGTACCTTGGGTTTGAAGGCAATGATTTTGAGCACCATCTCGACAGTGAAGAGGCCAGTGAAGACCATGTTGAGGATGTCCATGGCATAGTTGAAGGGAGCAGTCTGCTCATAGTGCTGTGGGAGAAAATCAGATGTGGGGATATAGCATGAGGCAGAAAACCCCCATAACAATCGAATATTCTCTGGCTTGGACTGAGGTGAGTCTGGGGATGTGGCAGAACGATGAGTTGGCCAAAAGTCTCACGCTGTCCACCTCCCATTATGGATATTGGAAAGCTCAGCTCTTGATTTCTTAGCTTTCCTTGCAGCTAGTTCTGACTAATGAGACTGAAACATAAGCTTACTGCTGCTTGGACAGCTTCTGTGAAAAATATTTTTGATTTCCAATAAAAGGATAAAAGAAGGAAATGGCAACCCACTCCAATATTCTTGCCTGGAAAAATCCCATGGACAGGAGCCTGGCAGGCTACAGTCCATGGGGTCACAAAGAATTGGACACAACTCAGACTAAACAACAAAAGGGTCAAATGAGGAAAGTCCCTTACTGTAACCTTCCTTCCTTTTTCCTGTTTTGAATGTGGTTTTGATGCCTGGAGCTATGGCAGCCATTTTGTGACCATGAAGCAACATTAATGAGAATGAAAACCAACTTGCTAAGAATAGTGGAACAGAAAGAGCCTGGGTCCCTGGTGGGCAATAAGCAAATAGCCTACCTCTGCAATGCTTGCTATGTGAGATAACTCACATTTTATTGATCCCAGGATACACATCTTTTCACATTTTAGAATCTCTGAAATTGGGGTGCATATCACAGTCAATGGCAACTTACATTTACCATCTGCCATATTTTTTCACATTCTCACATCCCTGAAATTAGGGTGAATAGGTCTGTAATTTGAAAAAATGTGACACATATCTTCAAAGCTTAAGTTTCTGTCAGTTGGAGGTTTTGTTACTTGTAGCCTAAAGCATTTCTGATGGTTCTCAAGGATTTGTGTGGATAGAATAGGGTCAGGTGTCTGGCAGGGGGCAGGGTGGGGAGTTCAGACCTGCATGGCTAGAGCAACCGTGTTGAGCAGGATGAGCAGGAACATGAGGTACTCGAAGGCAGCAGAGTTCACAGTGGCCCACACACGATACTGATGTGGGTTCTTGGGGATATAGCGACGGAGTGGTTGGGCCTTGAGGGCATATTCTACACACTGGCGCTGCATATGGGTGCAAGGCATGAGTGAGCGGTGGTGTCCCAAGGCAAGGAGTTGGGGAGGGGGGTTGGTTAACCAGGGGTCAGAGGTCACCTGGTTCTTATCCAGCTCACAGTCTTGGTACTCCTGCTCGCCCTGGGCTCGGAAGGTGATGATGACAAAGCCCACAAAGATGTTCATCATGAAGAATGCAATGATGATGATGTAGACAATGAAGAATACTGAGATCTCCACGTGGTAATTGTAGATGGGGCCCTTGTCCTCTGCATTTGCATCAATGGCCTTGTATAGCAGCCTGGGGAGCCAGTGGGGGCAAGTGGGGGGATATCCCAGACTCCTCTGACCTACCCATAGACACCTTAGATACCCCAGAATATCCTTCTCAAATATCCCCCAACCCCCTGACCTAATCGCTTGAGACCTCCACATCAGGTCATCAAAGACTCCAAAGCCCAGCCCTCCAGAGACCCAGAGGTCCCCATCCAACCCTCCAGAGAATTCCCCAATCAGGCCCTCTGAGACCCTCAAATCCCTTAAGTTCCCACAGATGCCCAATTCTCCTCCAGTCATCTTGGGGTCCCTATGCAGCTCCCCAGAACTCCCACACAAGCCCCCAAAGATCTCTAAGTCCTCTGTCCCATCAGCTTGAGTTCCTTGTTCCATCCGCCCCCCAAACATCTTTGACTAATACCCCGAAGACTTGTGCAGGTATCTGGAAACCACTGAATCTCCAGCTCCATCTCCTCCAAGACCTCCACCCAGTCCACCCAGACCCCTACCTGGGTACCCTCTAAATCATATCCAGTCCTCTCTAGACTTGCACCTAGTGCCTCAGAGGTCTCTACTCAATTCCTGGAAGCCCCCTCACCCAGGTCCCCAAAGTACCCTCAACCAACTTCTAGGAGATCCCCTTAGTCATCTGATACACACACCAGTCCCCAGAAAACTCTATCCATTCTCCAGAGACTTTCATCACGTCTCAAGATACCCTTCCACCCATCCCCAGGATATCCCAAGCCAATCCACTAGAGACTCTCGCCCAATCCCCTGCCCATCCCTAGGGCCCTGTCCCTCACGCAGGCCAGCCTTCGAAGGTGGAGACAGTGAACAGGGCCATCATGGCTGAAAGGACATTGTCAAAGTTGAAATCGCTGTTGACCCAGAGTCGCTCCCGGACCAGAGGCCTTGACACATCTCCATCGGGGTAGACCAGGAAGGAGCCCCTGTGGATGTTGCAGACATGCTGGATGGGTGAGGAGGGGTGGGGAGCTATGGAAAGGTGAGTGGTGTCTCCAGCATGGAGGCAGCAGGACATAGTGGTGGAGGTGAATAGACTGGGTTCAAATCCTGAACTTCCATTTACTGTCTGGGTGACCTTGGGCAGTTAGCCTCTCTCTGCTTCAGTTTTCCCCATTTATGAAATAAGGATAATGACAGAACATATTTCCTGGCTTGTTACAAGGATTAATTTTGTCAATCAATGAGAACAGTGTCTGGTGCATTGTTGGGACCATATACGTTAGCTATCGTCACATTATCATCATCATCGTCATCCAGGAAAAAGCAATATTAATAATAGGCAACATTTATCAGCACTAAGTATATGCCAGGCTCTGTGCTAGGCTTTACATGTACTATTACATTGTAGTACACTCTCCATGTAGTAACTCATTTACTCCTCACAACAACCTTGTGAAATCCATACTCTTTTTATCCTCATTTTTCAGTTGAGAAAAATGGGACTCATTGAGGTTAAGAAACATACTCAAGTCTCATGAGATGAATTTGAACCAGGAATGTCTAATTTCAGTTAACTACTACCCACTACAGGCTTCTCAGGTGCCCTAGTGGTAAAGAATTTGCCTGTAATGCAGGAGACGTAGGAGATGCAGATTTGATCCCTGGATTGGGACGATCCCCTGAAGTAGGGGGACCCACTCCAGTATTCTTGCCTGGGAAAACCCATGGACAGAGGAGCCTGAAGGCTACAGTGTTATGGTGTTGCAAAAGAGTCAGACATGGTTTAGTGGCTAAATATCAGCTACCCTCTACAGGAGTCTCAAGGTGGAAGCTGGGGACTTGGTGGTGGTGGTGGTGGGTGTTTGGGAATTGATGGGGGGGATTGGAGTGGAGTGGAGGTAACTCGGGAATGTGAAGAGGGGTTTGGGGCAGTTACTGGGGGTATCTTAAGGATTAGAGTTCTGAGAGCCTTTGCAATTCTTAGAATTCTCAGGGTGTATCTTAGGACCTTGAGGAATTCTGGGGTCTTGGAGGCCTTGATAAAATCTGGGGGTGGTGGCACTTACCTTGTGGTCCAATGGTTAAGAATCCCCTTTGCAATGCAGGGGATGTGGGTTTGATTCCTGGTTGGGGAACTAAGATCCCACATGCCATAGAGCAACTAAGCCCATGTGCTCTGGAGCCAACGGGCTGTAACTACTGAGCCTGTGTGCCATAACAAGAGTTCCGTGCACTGCAGCTGCAGTGGAAGATCCCACATGATGCAATGAAGATCTGTGTGCTGCAACTAGGACCTGACTTAGCCAAATAAATATGTGTGTGTGTATGTGTGTAGTTGCTCCGTCATGTCCAACTCTTGTGACCCTTTGGACTGTAGCCGGCCAGGCTTCCCTGTCCATGGGATTCTCCAGGCAAGAATACTGGAGTGGGTTGCTATGCCCTCCTCTAGGGGATCTTCCCAACCCAGGAAGCGAACCAGCATCTCCTGTGTCTCCTGCATTGGCAGGTGGATTCTTTATCCACTGAGCTCTCGGGAAGCCCAGCCAAATAATTATTTTTAAAACTCTGGGGGTCTCTGCAGTTCTTTGGAGGAAGGTCTAGGGGTTTCAGAGGCCTGGGTGAGATCCAGGGACCTCTTTGGACTCTGGGAGGGGTCCTGGGCTGCATGTAGGGCAGGATTTGGGCACTCACTTGCATTCTTGGGGTGTGTGTTTGGCCTCATCAGTGCAACTGTAGAATTTCCCCTGCAGGGATGATATTTGTCAAACAGAGTCATCCTTCATCCCCCGCTCCCCGCCTTGACTCACATCTGAGCCTTTCCAGTGTTTCCTCTCACCTTGAAGAGCTGCACACCAATGCAGGCGAACATGAACTGCAGGAGCGTGGTCACGATCATGATATTTCCGATGGTCCGGATGGCCACAAACACACATTGCACCACGTGCTGCAGGCACCCACAGATATGGCTCATGGATACTGCAGGCCATGGCAGCCAGGGGGCACAAACTCTTGGCATGTGTGGGGCTCAGGGACTTGGCTTAAGAACATGTGGTCTTGGGTGAAGGACATATGGGCACCAACTGGAAATAAGTGTTTGCCAGATGGGTATGAGTCCACACATCAGGAACTTGAATCATAGAAATGTGGCCTTTGGTAAGGAATGGACAGTCACTTGTAACTGTGCCCAGTGTTCAGGTGCAGGGTATGTGGTCAGGTTGTGGTTTTAGTCACTAAGTCGTGTCTGACTCTTGAGACCCCATGGACTGTAGCCCGCCAGGCCCCTCTGTCCATGGGATTCTCCAGGCAAGAATACTGGAATGGGTTGCCATTTCCTTCTCCAGGGGATCTTCCCCACCCAGGAATCGAACCTGGGTCTCCTGAATTGAAGGCAGACTCTTTACTGACTGAACTACGAGGGTCAAGCATCCCTGCAAATGGCCATTCTGACCATGATGTTTGGCCCTAGGGGTGGGGCATAGCCTGGGTCCCATGGACTTGGGTGGGATGTGGATACCTTGAGTCCTTTGGCCCTGTTGATGGCTCGAAGGGGCCGCAGTACTCGGAGCACACGCAGAATCTTCACCACTGAGATGGCGCTGGAGCTGAGGAGAGGGCAGTCCTCAGGCCGTGGCCGGGGCCTGGCCTTGGCTCTTGGAGGGATGGAGTGGGCAAGGTGTCACTCACTGGATACCAAAGGAGATGAGGGACACGCTGACCACCAGCAGATCCAGCAGATTGAACCAGCTACGGCAGAAGGAGCCGCGGTGCAGGAAAGCCCCGAACACTGTCATCTTGGGAGTAGGGGGATATAAGTCTAGTTAGACCCCAGATCTGGAGATGAGGAGGGCAGTTGGGGATGGAAACAGGAGTGGTGGGCTACAAGGGTGGGTGGGGAGTAGGTTGGGGCAACTGGGGGTATGATGGGGGCGTATCAACTGTTGTTCAGTTGCTGAGTCATATCTGCCGACTCTGACCCCATGAACTTCAGGGGCCCATTCATACCTTTAGTAGAATCTCCACAGTGAAAATGGAGGTGAAGGCATAATCGAAGTACCCCAGAATCTGGGGGGTGAGAAAGAGGAGGGGCCACCAAGTCATGGCTGAGGGGGATCCTAGCTGTGTGTCCCTCTCTGTAGGTTTTGCTGTTCCTCCTCCCTTCTTCCCTCTCTTCCTCACTCTCTCCTTCCTTCCTTCCCTCCCTCTCTTTCCCCTCTCTCATTGCCATCAAGGACTTCTCTACAAGGCAAAAACCGTGATCATCAGAAAGACAAGGCTTCGGATCTGGCCTCCTCTCCTTCTACCCAGCTCCATGGGCACCGTTGGTCTGCTCAGCCTCTGAGTACAGCTTCCTCCTCTGCCAAATACTGATCACCTCCCCGGCGCTTCCCCAAGGGTATTGCACACAAAATAAAGGCTAGTACTGCCGCACCTACCATTATTTCTTGTCTCTCTCTGCCTAACTAGGGGGACTTGTCCCTGTCTGCACCCTGGCCATAGATTGTATCCAGTAGGACAGCCCTGAGAGTGGCCCCTTGAGCCCCCAGCCCAAGGCTCACGTGGTTGCGGAAGGAGTGGGCTCGGATGGGATCCTCAGCGGCCAGGGACACACTGCTGAGGATGATAAACACCAGGATGAGATTGGTGAAGATGTGATGGTGGATGAGGGTGTGGCAGGCCTTCCTCAGTCTGGGGAGTGGAGAAATGGCCGTGGTCAGAACCCAGGACCACAGAAGTGACTGAGGGAGCCCAAGGGAGACAGCCTGGGCCCTGTTGCATCAGGCTGTGCACCCCACCTGAGCCTAGGCCGCTCCCTGGTCTTCCCCCTCTGCCTACCCCAGCCCCTCCTGTTTCCCTCCCCTCCTTTGGCCCCCCAGTCCCAACCGCCCACCCAGCACATTTGCAGCACTCACGGGTTGGTTTGGCTGAGGCAGAAGAAGGCACTGCCCTCAGGGATGGGCACCACCTTCTCCTTGGGTACAACTTCCTGCAGGAGTTCCACATGCCCGCCCCCCCCTTCCTCTTCCTCCTCTTCCTCCTCCTCCTCCTCTTCCTCCATGCCTGGCACCAGAAGAAGATCAAAAGAGAGAGAATGAATTGAGAAGACGTCTGGAGAGCACCTAGAACAGTGCTTTCCCATGGTAAATTCTCATCTCCCTGCTAGAATGGCAGCTCCTCGGAGAAGGGATTTCAGTTCGTTTTGTTCACTTCTGTGTCCTCAGCACTTAGAACACAGGCTTGAACCCAGGTCCCCCGCATTGCAGGCGGATTCTTTACCAGCTGAGCCACAAGGGAAGCCCTGGGACACAGTTAGGGGCTCAGTAAATGTGTGCTGAGTGAACATCGCCATCTTCAGGGCTGTAGCCCACCAGGCTCTTCTGCCCATGGGATTTCCTAGGCAAGAATACTGGTGCAGGTTGCCATTCCCTTCTTCAGGAGATCTTCCATACCCAGGGATTGAACCTAGGTCTCCCGCACTGCAGTTAGATTCTCTACCATCTGAAGCACTGGGGAAGCCCCTCTTCAGGCATTTTACACACTATTTTATAATAAAGGCTCTGAGAAGTTCTGCAATAAAATAAAATATTGGTTTCTCTTCTGGGCTTCCCTGGTGGTTTAGTCAGTAAAGAATCCATCTGCAATGTGGGAGACCTGGGTTTGATCCCTGGGTTGGGAAGATCCCCTGGAGGAGGGCATGGAAACCCACTCCAGTATTCTTGCCTGGAGAATCTTCATGGAAAGAGGACCTTGGAGGGCTGCAGTCCATGGGGTCGCAAAGAGCTGGACACGACTGAGCGACTAAGCACATCTTTAATCTCAGTGTCTTGAAACTTCCTGGCCACTCACCAAGTCCATTATTTTCAAGACCATCTCAGAGAAGGCTGCTCCCCAGAGAAGAGGGTCTCAGGGGTCACAAGGTCTGCCTGGGTGTTTCCCCAAGGTCCCACTCCTCTTCCATCTGACCCTGCCCACTTGCCTGCTCCTTCATTTTTTGCAGATTCCTCTTCCTCATTCTCCCCACCAGGCACCTGGGGACAGGAAGATGGGGGTCATCGATGATGGGGGATTCACCAGGGGATGGACACGGGGGAGGCACAGAAGGGATGCAATAAAGAAGGAATGAATAGGCAGAGGATGGGGGTTAAAGACACGCACACAGACAGATTCTGGTGGTAGTGGTGGGTGTAGACAGTGCCCAGACTTTTAACTCACCAGTGCTCCATTCTCCTGTGGAGTTTCCTCAGTGATCTTCTCCCTGGGCAAAGAAATATTGGGGGTGGGGTGGGCAGTAACTGTTAAAGATTGAAGCAGATAGGCAAGGCTGGTGAAGGAGGGGGTCACTGTAGTCAGAACAGACCTTTCTTAGGTCCCATAGAACCTCCTGCTTCTTCCCTCATCTCCTTGGTCTATTCTCACAGCAACAGAAGAGATCCTGTTAAGTTCTAAGTCTGGGACATTCCTCCTCTGCTCACACCCCTCCCACGGCTCCCCCCCTACTCAGAGCAAAACCGAAAGTCCTCACCATGGCCCAAGATACCCTTGATCTGACTTCTCTCTTTCCCCCTATTTGAACTCACCCCTATCATTCTCCTTGTTCATGTCACTCCATGGCATCCATGGTGTCTCCATGGTGGTTTTTTTTTTTTTGCTACTCCCAGCAGTATGTGGCATCTTAGTTCCCTGACTAAGGATTGAACCCGTGCCCCCTGCCCCTCTGTGGTGGAAGCATGGGCCTCTAATCCCTGGATCACCAGGGAAACCCCTCCATGGTGTTTTTTAAATGTGCTAAGAATATTATCACCTCAAGACCTCTGCACTTGCTGTCCCCTTGCCTTGAACACTCTTACTCCAGATATCGGCATGGCTCACTCCCCTACTTCTTTCAGGCCTCTGTGCAACAGTCACCTTCCTTGATTAGTCTAACCAAAACAGCAAGCATTATATCTGTCTATTCTCTTATTGTGCTTTCTTTTCCTTCATTACATATTGTAAACATATATTTAATTAAATTACATTATTATATATTCATTTGTTTGTGTTTTGCTTGCCTTTCCCAACTAGAATGTTGGCTCCATGAAAGCAAGAACTCTGTTTACTTGGACAACTGCTGTCTCCTTAGCATATAGAACAGGGCCTGGCAAAAATTGTACATGTGTGTATTAGTCGCTCAGTTGTGTTCGACTCTTTGGGACCCCATAGACCATAGCCTGCCAGGCTCCTCTATCCATGGGATTTCCCAGGCAAGAATACTGGAGTGGGTATTCCTCCCCATTCCCTTCTCCAGGGGACCCTCCTTACCCAGGGATTGAACTGGGTAACAATGAGTCTCCTGCATTGCAGGAAGATTCTTTACCATCTGAGCCACCAGGGAAGCCCTGAGCCACCAGGTAAAAAGTAGGTGCTCAGTAAATCCATGTCCAATGAATGAGGACTGGCAGGTTGGATCTGCAGATGGAGATTTCCAGGGAGACCAAGGCATCTTTGGTGCTGTGGGATGTGTGTGTGAGGGTCCCAGTCAGGGATTCCAGGGCGAGAGTGTCTTGGAGGCAGAGTCAGACCTCACCTGCCCTTATCTTTGTCAGTGCCTGCATCTCCACTGGCCAGGTTGTCCACAGCGATGGCAAGAAACACATTCAATAGGATGTCTGGGGTGAGCTCAGGCTAGAGAGGATGGAGAAGCAGACTGCCTACAGAGTGCCCAGGTCCTCATTATCCTCCCCCAACCCTGCCGTGATCCAGCCTCCCAAGGCTCTGAGGATACAGTTGCCGCAGATGAAGAGGATGATGAAATACACACACACCAGCATCCCTGGGAAGAAGGGGCCGCCATAGGCCATGATACCATCATACATGACCACATTCCAGTCCTCACCCGTCAGTATCTAGGAGTGGGAAGTCACCATGAAGCTCTTGGGACCCTCTCCCAAACCTTGGGTCCCTCCCTACTTGCCCACCCATCCCATCATCTCCAGGTCCCACCTGAAAGACAGTGAGGAGGGCCTGGGGAAAGGTGTCAAAGGTGCTTCGCTTGGTGTGGGTCTGGTCAAAGTTGAACTTGCCCCCAAACAGCTGCATGCCAAGCAGGGAGAAGATGATGATAAAGAGGAAGAGGAGAAGCAGCAAGGATGCAATGGATTTCATTGAATTGAGCAGAGACGCCACTAAATTGCTCAGAGATGCCCAGTGCCTGCAGTAGAGATGGAGGGGGAAGGGTTGACATGTTCAGTGGTGAGTCAGGAGCCAGGGGAGTGCTTTAGCTTGGGATGTACTGGGGCGGACTGGGTTAAGATGAACTTTGATGTCACTGTTGGATGTGATTTTGGAGTCAGAGTGAGGTGAGAATAAGAAGGAAGGGGAAGGTTGTATTTGAGGTTAGGGTGGTGTTAGGGAAGATGAGATTAGTATGGTGGGTATATGGAAGTTGGTGAAGCTAGAACTGGGTTTCAGTTGGGCCTGGGACTGCGGTTGGGGTAAGGGATGGGTAGCTGGGGATGGGCTTGGGGAATATTTGGAGTTGTAAATGACTGAGTTGGGGATAAGGTTGTGGTTGAGGGTTGGGATAGAGGAGAGGATGGATGGGGATGAGATTAGGGCTGGGATTGGGGACGAGTTTTCAGTTGGAGATAGGCTAATGGTTATGAGTTTGGGATGTGGGGGTTGTGGTTAGTGATGGGGATGTAGCTGGGAGTTAGAAATGAAGTTGGAGGTGGGGCTGGGCTTGGGCTTGGATATTGGGGCTGTAAATGACCTTGTGGATGATGAGTGGCTGGTGGTTGGAGTTAGAGATAGTGTTATGGTTGTGGGTGAGGGATGGGGTTTGGGTTGGTGATGAGTATGGGGTTGAATTTGGAGATGGGGTTGGGAATCATATTCTAGCTGAAGTTGAGGCTGAGGAAAGGGAGGGAAGTGGAGTAGACACCCTCCCCAACTGACTTTAATCTCTAGGAAGGCAGGAGCTAGTGACTGCTTTGATTCCTGGTGTTTCCTTAGGGCCTGGAAGGACAACTTGTATGCAGTAGGCACTCAATGGATATTTGATAAATGAATGCTGATGCAAATATAGTCATCATTGGAGCTGGGATGGTGGCTGTTGCAGCTGTGTTTGGGGTCTCAGTCTTCACCCTTCGCCACATACAAACACACCCCCCCCCCACATACCTGGTGACCTTAAAGATCCTGAGGAGGCGCACACAGCGGAGTACCGAGATGCCCAGGGGTTGCATGGCACCCACCTCCACCAGGGTAGTCTCCAGGATGCCCCCACAGACCACGAAGCAGTCAAAGCGGTTGAAGAAGGAGGACACGTAGACAGAGGGCCCCAGACCATACAACTTGAGAAGCATCTCCACCGTGAATAGACAGAGTAACACTTTGTTGGCATACTCTGTGGGGAGAGGGGCAGGGGTGAGTGGCCTAGCCAGGTTTTGTGGTGACATGTGGGGAGGTAGGGGCCGTGGAGCGATCTGGGGCAACTGGTATTGGACCAGGCACAGGCTGGTGATGTGGTTAGGACTGAGGATAGGGTGAGTTTGTAGGTCAGGGTGCATGAGGTTTTGAGAGTTTTGGAGCTGGGGTGAGGGCAGAGCTGGGGTGTGGGCCTCAGTTAGCCTCTGTGAATACAGAAAAACTCTGATTCATGGGTAGAATTAGAGCCTAGCGTTTAGCTGGGACTGGGGCCGGTTTGAGGGTTGGGGTTAGAAGTGTGCTCAGTATCCAGGTTGGGGCTGAGATTAAAATGAATAATAGTAAGGGCTATTAATAACACTTATACAGTGTTAACTCCATGTGGGTCAGGCAATGTTCTAAGCATTTTTCACTTTAACTCATTTAATCCTCCCCACCATCCCTGGTGGCTCAGATGGTAAAGAATCTGTCTGCAATGCACAAGACGTGGGTTCGATCCCTGGGTCGGGAAGATTCCCTGGAGAAGGGAATGGCTACCCACTCCAATATTCTTGTCTGGAGAATTCCATGGACAGAGGAACCTGGCTAGCTACAGTTCATGGGGTCTCAAAGAATCAGAGAGAACTGAGCAACTAACACTTTCACTTTTGCTTTTAGCATCCCATGAAGTGGATACTATCACTATCCCCATTTTGTAGATGGGGAAATTGAGGCACAGAGGATTTAACTTGTCCAGACAGTGGGGTGTTAAGAGCCTGAACTCTACAGCCAGGCTGCCTAGGTTTGCCACTCAGTAGCTGAGTCCTGGGGTTAATCATTTAACTCTTCAGGACCTTGGTGCTAGGCCTCTGGGCCTTAGTACTTAATTCACATAAAGTTGTAGTGAAGAGAAATTGAGTGAGTACGTGTAAACTGCCAAAAACAGAGCCTGACACACACAGCAAGCGCTACCTAGGTGTAAGCTGCAAGGAAGGACGGGGCAGATTTTCTGCATTTACTTGGGTGGGAGGGCTGTATCTGGGGCCATATCAGGACCCAGGAGATCCTGCATCTGGGCTTCTAGGGTGGAAGGGATTGGGGGCTGGGGAGAGGGCTGGCAGGCTGGGGGGGTGTACCCTGGATCTGGGTGAGCCAGAAGGGCTGCCCGTGGTGCTCCGAGGCGATTGTCAGAGTGTTGAGGAAGACGAGCAGCAGCACGGCCCAGTAGCAGGCATTGGACTTCACAGCCCTCCGGCAGCGCGCCCGAAGGCCCCGGTTGGCTCGGCGGAGACGACGACTGTGGGGACAGGGAGCCCACTGACAGAGATCACTTACCTGAACCTGTCCTGGGGGCTCAGGTGGGGGAGCCTGTTGGTCATGGGGGGCTTGGAGGTGGGGTTCACAAAGTCATAGGGTCTGGGAGTCACACAGCTTTCCCAACTCACCAAACGCTGGTTTTCATGATCTTCTTTCTGGAAAAGGGGAAGATGGGAGGTGGGCATCATTAGGGGCTGGAGGGCACTCAGCAGCAGGGGTTGGAGGTCAGGGCTAGGAAGCTGGAGGCTGAAGTCAGGACTGGGGCCAGGATCTGTTCCGAGTTCTGGGCTGGGTCAGGGGTCGAGGGCTGGGGGCCTCACAGGCAGCGTGTACAGCTGGCTAGAGTGCCCTCTTCCTCTTCCTCGTCTCCTTGGGTCTCTGCCATCGAACCAGTGTCACTGGCTGGGAGGCTGGCTGTGGGCAGGATGGGAGAAGAGGTCAGCACATGAAGATGCCAGGGTTCTGCTCTTGGCCTTCCCCTCTGTCTACTCATCCCACCCGCTCCTCAACCTGGTTGGATCCTCACCATGGCTGCTGGTGGAGTGGGTGGAGTGACTGAACCAGCGCATACGTCCTCGTCTCCTATTGGTCAGTTCTGCCAGTTGTGGCCCTGTAAGCACAGGGAGGACATTTGGGGAACAGGGTCTCGGGTGAGGTTAGGGCTCTAGGATGACGGGTGTTATTTGGAGTCTTTGTTCTGGGTACAGTCTGGGAAGGGTATCTGAGTCTGGGTTCTGGGTCATAGACCATAACCAGAGGCTGGGCCTAGAGTTGCTGAGGGCTAGGGCTAGATCTCAGGAGGGCAGCCCACATCTGAGGGACGCATGAGGCAGGCAGTGGGCTGGGTTGAGATTGCCTACGGTGGCTGGCCAGGCCCTCTTCAGCCATGGAACCAAAGTTGCCAGCAGCTGAGGGGTCCTCCATGTCCAGATCCTCTGCCTGTGTGATCCAGTCCAGGTAGCCCCGGAGGTCCTCCTCCAGCTGCTGCTTCTCCCGAAGCTTCTGGAAATCCCCTCGTGCTTTTGCCTTCTCCCTCTCTTTGGAGAACTCCCTGAGGGAGGAGAATAGAGGGCTAGACAGAGGAACCACCCTGGCCCCCTTGCCATCACCATCCCAGCCATACTAACCTCCTTGCCGTTCTTTGAATACACTAAGCACGTTAGAGCTTTGGAAACTTTGCACTGGTTCTTCCCTTTGCTTGGAACACTCTTTCCTCAGATATTCACATGGCTTAGTATCTTTTCCCATTTTTACTCAGATAACACCTTCTCAAAGAGGCCCGTCCCTGCTTGTCCTTATTTGTAATTACAATATCTCCCTATTCCTTTCTTTCCAGAGTACATATTTCATATAAGACAAAACACATATGTGTTTATGTATGTATGTATGTAATATCCAATAAGGCAGAGACTTTTGTCTCTTGTTCCATTCCTAAAACAGTGCCTCACACACAGTAGATGCTCGGTGTTGACTGAATGAATGAAGGGGTATTTTAGATGGGTTTTGAAGGATGCCTAGAAGTTTGTTAGGAACAAAGTAAAGGGACAGGGGCTGAGGGGTTGGGTAAATGTCTAGGCTCCTCACCCGCTCAGGACACCAAGTACAAGGTTGAGGACGAAGAAGGATCCAAAGATGACAAGACTCACGAAATACACCCAGGGCAGCTCATACCCCATGGCATCCTGCATCTGGGGAGGGGGAAATGCATCTCTCAGTGTGTGCAAGCCCTCCTGCCTGAGCTCAGGGAGGAAAGGCAGGTTCAGCTTCTGCACTGGGTGTCTGTCATTCCACCTCACCCAGTAGAGCACGTCAGTCCAGCCTTCCATGGTGATGCACTGGAAGACTGTCAGCATGGCGAAGAAAAAGTTGTCAAAGTTGGTGATGCCTCCATTGGGCCCTGCCCAGCGCCCGCGGCACTCTGTCTGGTTCAGCGTGCAAGCACGGCCTGATCCTGAGGATGCACAGGGTGACGGGTCCTCCTCCGCCTCTACGTCTGTGGGAAGACTGGAGCTCTGGAATCCGAAGTGCACCCACCCACAGTCATGGGCACCTTGGAAGCCCGCCTACCTGGGAAGTTTGCCTCAGGGTTCTAGATTTTTCTAAATCAGACAACCCTTAGGGCTTCCCTGGTGGCTCAGTGATAAAGAATCTGCCTGCCAATGCAGGAGACCAGGGTTTGATCCCTGGTCCAGAAAGGTTCCACATACTTCAGAGCAACTAAGCCTGAATACTGCAACTATTGAGCCTGTGCTCTAGAGCCTGAGAACCACAACTACTGAGCCCATGAACTACAACTACTGAAGTCCACACTCTAGAGCCTTTGAGCCACAACAAGAGAAGCCTGCACACTGTGATAAAAACCCAGCACAGCCATAAATAAATATATGAAATTAAAAAAATAGACAACACTTAGCCTCTGACTGCTGGGTCAGGACTCTGAACCCCTGGGAAGCTGTGAGGCCCAACCACAGAGATCTGGGGAGTGGGACTGTAAAATTTGAGGCAGAATTTTGTGAATAACAGTGAGCCATGAGCCTAGGAGCAGAGTCTTGTGAATTTCAGAGGGTCATTTGAAAGAAGGGTGGGGGCAAGCCTTGGGTTTGGGTCTGGATAAAAAAGGCCTGCCTAGGAGTCTTTACTTCCCTGGTGGCTCAGTGGTAAAGAATGCTAATGCAGGAGATGCGGTAGACACCGGTTGGATCCCTGGTTTGGAAGATCCACTGGAGAAGGAAATGGAAACCCACTCCAGTATTCTTGCCTGGGAAATCCCAAGGACAGAGGAGCCTGGTGGGCTACAGTCCATGGGGTCACAGAAAGGTCTGAGATTAATGGTAGAGTCTTGATTACATGGGGTGTGCTGTGTGTGTGTGCTAAGTGGCTTCAGTCATGTCCGACTCTTTGAGACCCCATGGACTGTAGCCCGCCAGGCCCCTCTGTCCATGGGATTCTCCAGGCAAGAATACTGGAGTGCATTACCATTTCCTCCTCCAGGGGATCTTCCCGACCCAGGGATTGAACCCGTCTCTTATGTGTCCTGCATTGGCAGGTGGGTTCTTTACCACTAGCACCACTGGAAAGCCTGAATATATGGGGTAGGGCTTGTTGATCTGGTGGCAGAGCCTGAACCGGGGAGCAGAATCTCGTGTATTTGAGTGTGTCTCCTTGAGAACAGGGTGGGGCTTAGGAGCCAATGGAGGGGGCATATCCTGTCCCGGCATGGGTGGGCTTGCTGACCAGATCCCAGGAAGTAGCACGTTTTGTGCATGCGTCCGAGGAACAGCTCCAGTCCGATGATGGCGTAAATGATGATGACAAAGAGCACAAGAAGTGCGATATGCAACAGCGGCACCAGAGCCTTCATGATGGAATTGAGCACTATGTGCAGGCCTGTAGGGAGCGAGGGGTGGACAAAGTAGGGGTGGGGTCAGCTCAGCCTCCAACCCCTCCCACTGCCCTCCATCACCTCCAAGCCTGGGGGATGTGCCACTCACTCGGGACCCCAGACACCAGCCTCAGAGGTCGCAGCACCCGAAATGCCCGCAATGCCTTCACATCGAAGCCCCCTGGCTTCCCTCCCATATGCGGGGTGTCCCCTGGGCGTCCGGGACCCTGCTCCAGAAGCACGCTGAACAGCCTGATGGGGGAGCATGGGAAAAGGAAGTAGGGGGTCAGGCCTTGGGATCCCCACTTCCCTTCCTTTCCTTCTCCTCTGAGAAGTACAAATCCCTGTAAATGGAAATGCAAATAGGTTTAAAATATGTTAATATTCCTGATTCTGGCTGCCAAATGGGGGCAGTCTGAAGCAGTCACTTCCCTGAGCCCTGAATTTAGCGGGTCTGTGGTGGGAAGCTGGACTAGGGTGGGGGGTGTCCCCTGCAGATGCGTACCCGACCACGACAATGATGAAGTCGAGCAGGTTCCAGCCATTGCGGATATAGGCGCTGGGGTGGAGCACCAGCCCATAGGCCACAATCTTGAGCACCGTCTCCACAGTGAAAATCACCAAAAATACGTATTCCACTTGCTCCTGGGGGCAGAGCCGGAGGCGAGGCGGGAGATTGGGAAGTTATTTGGGAGTGGGGTTTGTTTGATAGGGGGTAGGGGGAGGCGGGTCTTCCCTGGTGGCTCAGAGGATAAAGAATCCACCTGCAATGTGGGAGACCTGAGTTCGATCCCTGGGTTGGGAAGAGCCCCTGGAGAAGGGAACAGCTTCCCACTCCAGTATTCTGGCCTGGAGAATTCCATGGACAGAGGAGCCTGGTGGGCTACAGTCCATGGCATCACAAAGAATCCGACACAACTGAGCAACTTTCACTTCATGGGAAGGCCAGCAAAGCAGGACGGAGGGTGGGGCTGGGCAGGAGAGGGTCATCTGGGTCAGCAGTGGCAGGGCCTGGCTGGAAGTCTTGAGGTGTGGCTCTATTGGAGCTGTATCTAGCTGGAGGCGGGGTAGGGCAAGCCTCACCAGGTTGTGGTTGGCAGTGTTGGAGTCGTCCTCTGGGAAGGGGATGTAGACTCCCAGGGCCACGCAGTTGGCAAAGATGGTCAGCAAGATGAGGATGTCGAAGGGCCTCAGGTGGACACAGTTAAGGACCCAGGCAGAGTGGCCTCAGAATGTGACCTTCTCTTGGGGCCCTCCCCACCCAGTGCTGACTCGACCCAAAGATGACCAACCTTGGCATTCCCGGCCCCTTCTCTGACCAAGGCCTTGACTCTGACCCCCTGGAAAACCTTAGCATCCTCAAGTCTGGCTGAGATTTAGTCTTTGACTCTTGACACCAACCCCCTCCTCCAGACCTTCATCTTTCTCAACTCTCCCTTGAATCCAGTTCTTAACCCTTGATCCCTGGTGATCTCAGCCCTCTTTTATTCCTGCCCTGGCTTTGAACCTTGACTCTTGGTACCCTGGTGACCTTCACCCCTGAACCCTGCCCCTGGCCTTCAAGGATGCTTCCATTCCACAATGCTGATGCAGGACCGCCGCAGGGGGTTTGCCAGGGTGAGGCAGAAGAGTGCCCGGGGTGACCGCTGGGCACTGGCTACTGCCACTGTCTTGTGCTTACTGTGCTGAGTCTTCCGCTTAGGGGTCCCTAGGCCTGATGCCCCGCTGATTTCACCATCTGATGCTGGGGGCCCAGGGCACAGCCCCCATTCAGGCCCAGGGCCTGTCCCATTGACTGGACAGGGCTCTGGGGTGGTGTCTGTGTGAAGAAACCAAGTCAGGGTGAGGAAAAGTTATTGGTTGCTTCCTACCTGATCCTATTCTTCTATCTGAGGGAAGGAGAGTAGAGCATGTAAAATTAGGGAGAGTTGAGGATACCTGAGTTAAGGATTGGGGGATGAGTGGGTATTAGAATTGACTGAGGGTAAAGTGCAAGTTTATAAGTGAGTGAGGGTGAGATAATATTTCTAACTGAAGCAGTGGTTTGCATTAGATTTGGGGGGCAGAGAGCTTAAATTTGCATGGGGTAGGACTGAGTTTATAGCTGGAAGCAAATTTAGGGTTAAACTTGAGTGGTAGATTTTGGGTTGGGTTTAAATTCAGGTGGGAGTAAAGTGTACTTAAAATATGATTTAGGGTTAGGCCTAGATAGTTGATTGAGTTGGGATTTGAATTAGGATCAAGGTTAGGGTTAAAGTTGAGTTTGAGTTCAGGTGGGATCTGAGTTTTACATTGGGGTTTTCAGCTAAATTCATTCCCAATTCCCACAGTCTTATTTCAGCCTCCAAGGGGCAGTGGGTTGGCCTGGTTAATATACCATCAGCTTTGGAGGAAAAAAGCTATTTGAGTTTAAATCCTGATTCTACCACTTGGTAGTTTTCTGTGTCCTTGAGCAAATTATGTAATCTCTCTGAGCCTCAATTTCCTTATTTGTATAATGAGATGACAATAAGAGTACCTACAACATAGAGTTGTTGTGAGGATTAAATGAATTCAGCATTCAGGAGAATGTCTGACACACAGTATTATTCCCATTTTTCAGGTGAAGAAATTGATGCAAAAAGAGGTTAAGTGCTTTGAAGAAGCGGCTGAATTGGGAGTAAAACCCAGGGAGTCTCTGACTCTAAACCTTCATGACTTACTACTACCATCAAGTATGCATTCTGTCTTTCTCTCTGATCCTTAAAAATGGTTCTGTGCTCTTTCTGGAAAGTCAGAGACCCACTCACCAACAGTGTTGATATCCAGGGGTTGGGGTTGAGTTTAGGCGACTTTAGAGCTCATGGCAAGGTCTGTATCCATGTTGGGATTTGGACTCTAACAGGGGTTTGCCCTCTCGTTGGTAAAGTTTGTGTTAGGATTAAGCTTGGGGCTGACATTGGAGTTGAAGTTGGGGTGGGTGCTAGGATAGAGATCAGGGCCAAGATTGGGGTTGGGTTTCAAATTGGGATCTAAGGCTGTGGGCTGTTTTGGGGTTTACTGGGATGGGAACAGGGTAATATGATTCTAGTCCCCAAAAGGCTCTCCAGGGGTAGGATCCTGGTGGGCAGTGGGCGGATCAGAGGGGCAGAGGATAGAGCAGAGCTCAGGCTTGCTCCAAGGGTCTGTAGGGGTGGAAGGTTGCTCTCACCTTTCCCGCCTTCAGATGCCGACATCCTCCTTTCGAGATTGAAGAGCCATCTGCACACAGCCCCCGTCTCTTCCCCCAGCTTTGGAGGGATTAAGGTCACAGGGCGGGGCCATAGCAGGGTCGGATGGGAGGGTGAGGAGGGGTGAAGATGGGACACTTGTGGGCCAGAGCATGGCAACAGAAAATGCACGGATTAAAAAAAAATATATATATATATATATATTACAAAATATATACCAGCACCAGAGGCAGAAACTAAAATAAGAAAAATGATAATTGTTTTCCAAAAGTATCTGAAATTTGAAGTATGCAGGAATAGACCTAAGATGACATATGTGCAAGATCTCCATGGGAAAAAATTATCAAATGATTAAAGGGGGTCTAAATAAATAGAGAGATAGATTAAATTTACTAATTGAAATAGTTAATATTATGAAGATGCCAATTCCTCCCAAAGTGATCCAGAGATTCAATGCAGTCCCAAATAAATTTCTAAAGATTTTTCCTTGACATTTGACAAACTGATTCTAAAATGTATATTGATATACAAAAGACCTAGAAAAGCAAAATCTTTGAAAAATAACAAGATGGGAGGACTTGCCATAATAGATATCAAAACTTGTAATAGAGCTAGATTAATTAAGAACAAAATAGAGAAACTCTCTTTTGTCCCATATGATTTAATGTGGGACTACTGATCAGTGAAGACAGGGTGGTGTTTTTCATGACTGGTGGTTATATGGATGCTTACTAGGTAATTATTCTTTGGAGTGTACACATATGTATAACATTAAAATAAAGCATTTATTGAATGCATGAATACTAGTGACTATAGCTTACATAGTGCTTTTTTACTGTATATGTATCACACACACAGTTTAACAGCTGCTTTACATGAATTAATTCGCTTTAATCCTAGGAAATAGGTACTATTAATAGCCCCATTTTACAGATGAGGAAACTAAGACAAAGGAAGCTATGTAACCTGCTCACTGTTGCACATTTAGCAGGCTATGGAACTGAGACTCAAACCTAGTTGCTTTGTGTGAAAGCCCCTGCCTTAATTAACTTGTACACTTTTACAATCTAGAAGATGAATGCCTTAAAAGGGATGAATCAAGAAGCCTCTCTCTCTCTCTCTCTCTGTCTCTCTCTCTCTCTCTCTCTCTCTCGTGTTCAGTACAATCCCTTGTCCACTTGGAAGAACGCACTGGGCTGTAGGCAAAACAAAACAAAACGGAACCTACAACTCCCAGCAGCCATTGCGCTCTCAAGCGTGCACGCGCCCATTCACACCAGTACGACAGGCATCCGGCTTGCGTCGAACGCGCTCTCGGGACTACACTTCCCGACTCTCCTAGCGGAGCCCGTGACACTCCTTGGACCGCGAGCGGGGAGCGGGCTTTCCTCAGCTGCGCCTCTCTTCCTCGGACCCGGCCCTGGACCCAACCTCGGACTCCAAAACGGCTCCACCATGGAGGAGGCGGACCGAATCCTCATCCATTCCCTGCGCCAGGCCGGCACGTAAGGACACAGCCCCCGCCTACCTCGGAATGCCCACATCCGGGACTCCAAAACTCCAGACCCAGTCACCCGGGAACCTTAAAACCCCAGACCTTAACATCTAGGGATCCAACCTCAAGGACCCTAAGACCCTCCCTCCTCCATACACACACACGCACATGCACACACACACACACACTCACACTCCCAAACCTTTGACCCCTACACTTGCTAAACCCCAAACTCCAGGACCTAGGCACCTCGAGACCTTAAAACCTTGCAGTCTCAAGGCCTGGGCTTCTGAAATCTGTGGATCTTTACATCAGTACCCTGGAACCCTGATATCTGGAGATTCTAAAACACCTGTATCCTGAGAACCAGGGAACTTAAAACCCTGGGGTCCTGGCACTCAGGGACTCCAAAACCCTCTGGGACTGGATACTTGGGAAACTTCAAACCTCTTTTCCCAACACCCAAGGCTTTTAAAATCCCAGGACTTTAAAATCTGGTGTCCTTAATGCCTGGTGATTCCGACACACTGGTACTCCTGCATTCGAGAGTCCTACAAACCCAGGATGACAACATGTAGGGAGCTTGACTTCCAGATTGCTTGAGACTAGGTGGTCTTGATATCCAGGGACTCTGACATTTGGAACTCCTGAAAATCCCAGCTTCCCAACTTCGAGTCTCAAAACCCTAGCAGTTCAATATCTAGGGGCCCCTGACATGCAGGGAACATGATATCTGGGGATGCAGAAACCAAGAGACCATTCCATCTGGGCTCCTAGGCCTTCCCAGACCCTAGGCATTTGGAACTTTTAGGCATAGGGAAAGTTGAGATTTTTTGAATTTGGATCCCTTCCATCCACCACTCTACACTGAGGTCTTAGGACTTGAGGACTACCTCCCTCCACCACCACCATTTTTAGTTTTACAAGTGGAAGTCAGCCAGCAACACTGAGGACCTGTCTGAACTGTGTCCATCCTCAGCACCCCATCCCAGTATTAGGGCTTCCAGGAGACTGCATGGCTCAGCCTCATTCCTGTTTCCTGACTGCTCTCACCCCCCTCATTGAGTCTGCCCCCTTCTTCTTCAGGGCAGTTCCTCCAGATGTGCAGACCCTGCGAGCCTTCACCACTGAGCTGGTGGTAGAAGCTGTGGTCCGCTGCCTGCGTGTGATCAACCCCGCTGTGGGCTCTGGCCTCAGCCCCCTGCTGCCTCTTGCCATGTCTGCCCGTTTCCGTTTGGCCATGAGCCTGGCTCAGGCCTGCATGGTGAGTGCCTTCCTCCCAACATACACAGCCTCTTCCTTCCTCCTTTACAGTCGCCAGACTCCTTTGAAACTCTTGACTTTCCTCTCTGCTACCTCCCCTTGTGACTTAGTGGTTAAGGCTGCTGGCTCTGTGGTCAAACTGCCTAAGTAACTGAGACCCTGGCTACAGCACTTGCTGTGTGTGACCCTAAACCTTGTAGCCCTCAGTTTCCTTCTCTGTGAAATTGGGATGGTAAAAGTAGGGTTCTTAGGATCGTCAAATGAGTTGATCCAGTTTGCACCTGGGTGACTCCTGGCTTCCATATTTTGAGCTTAGCACCAGGAACTTTTCTAAACCCTGTAATATCCATTTACCAGTTCCTGAAACAGCCCTGTTTGATTAAATGCTCAGGCTGAAATTAACCACCTGTTCTCTGATTGGCCCAGCCTGGATCCGATGGTCACCCCTATAGGGCATGTGATTGGCTACTCCTTCAGGATCACATGGAGTTGGGGGAGGGAGGGTCATCCAAAAGAAGATATGCTTGTTAATTTAAACAGTGTCTGCACTAAAACTTCACTCTGCCCTGTTAGCCAGATAGGCTTGATCTGGCTTCTTGCATTCCAACAGCCTGTGGCTATGTAATGAATGTCAGCATACCCAACATAACCAGTATTTGGTGGTAGAGGGCCCATGGTGTTAACTACAGTGAAATTTTCCACTTAGCCCCAAGGGACAGGGTGGTCAGGTTTCTTGAATCTGTGCCTTGCTTGTGCAGTTTCTGTCTCTTAGAAATAGGCCTCTACCCAGCTTTCGTCTCTCAGGTTCACCTAGCTCTCAGGTGTTCTTGGGTTCTTCTGTCTGGGGCTTTTGGTGGCCTTCGAGGCAAGCAGTCTGTCCTCTGGCCTGGGGGTGTCTTCTTGAGAATGGCACTTTATAAGAGGGAACGTGGGTCCTCTGTGTGTCTAGAAGGGCACACAGTGGGACATGTTGAGGAGTGGCTGGGGCTTAGGCTTCCTCCAGTTTCCTCTTACCCGCTTCTCTCAGTGTTGTTTCCCACTGGATTTGATGGTGATCTACTTTTCCTCACACTAGCTTTAACGTGGGGAAGAGAGTGTGGCCTTTTCAGTGATGGAAAAGTTCACGTGATTGTCTGGCCCCAAAGTCTTGGTTTGGCCTGAGCGGCTAGAAAGTCTGCCGTGTGTCCAACTCTTTGTGACTGACACTTTGTGACACCGTGGACTGTAGCCCGCCAGGCTCCTCTGTCCATGGGATTTTCTGGGCAAGAATACTGGGGTGGGTTGCCGTTTGCTTCTTCAGGGGATGCAAGAGCAAGTAGAAAAAATCTCTTAACTCGGCCGGGTGCTGCTTCTGTAGCCCACCTTGACTCAGCACTGCCGCCTTCTGGTGTCTGCCTCGTCATGTGCCCTACTGCTGACACCGCTTTCTGCGACTCAGCCACCTCCATATTTTGGTGGCTGTCATTTCACACACCCCACTCCTGGAATGACTTTCTGTATCAGTCACAACTCTTTGATTGCAGGTGTCGGGAAAAACCCAAAGTAAAGTAGCTTAAAAGACAGTGGTTTTCACACTTTTTGACTGCGACCCTCTGAAATAACTATGTCCTACATTGTGACCAAATACACATATATCTGTATAATAATGATGTTATATTATATATAATATTGTGATGTTTTCTGAGTGTTGCTCTGTGCTGGCTGTTGTGGTAACTTGGCATTAAGCCATTGAATTCTTGAGACAGCTTTCTGAAGTAGGCACTGTTGGTATCCTTTTGCTCAGGTGAGGATAGTAAAGCTCAGAGAGGTTAAGTGGTTTGCCTGTGGTCACACAGTTGGTAAGAAGCAAAGCTTAGATTTGAATCCAGAAAGTCTGCTTTGAGAATCCATGCAGCTCCAGACCAGAACCTTGATGGGCCTTTTAACCACTTAAGTGAAAATGAAAGTGTTTGACTCTTTGTGACCCCATGGGCTGTAGGCTGCCAGGCTCCTCTGTCCAGGGGATTCTCCAGGCAATAATATTGGAGTGAGCTGTCATTCCCTCCTCCAGGGGATCCTAATCCAGGGATCAAACCCAGGTCTCCAGCATTGCAGGTAGATTATTTACCATCTGCGGCACCAGGGAAGCCTTTTTTTTAAAATTCCTTAAAGCATCCACATAGGGACAGTACTGTCAGCCCCATTTTACAGCTAGAAACTGAACTGGGTGGTTAAATAACGAGTCCAAAGCTTTATAGCGAGTCAAGTA